ATGTGTAACGTCAAAATTAATTCTGAGGTATAAATTTTTGGACGTTTAATGGTCACATAAATAGCTGGTTTGAATTCTTTTGAATGAAAAAACTTTTTCAGATTTATTTGAATTAAAATGCCAGCATTACTTCACCATTTAGAGCCTTAAATGTGAAGGTTAGTTGTGGTTTGAATGAGTAAAATGTTTAAACGTTTTTCAAGCCATAAAGATATGAATTAAATTGCATTTAAATGGTGAAAACCATTTGAAACCTTGAGCAATCCATGGTTCCTCTCCACATTATAAATAGTGGCCCATAGTTCAGCAACCAACACACAATCCTTCCTCCTCTTCTCAGTATTTTCGAGCTCTCTTTTCTTTTCTTTTGTTTCAGTGTTCATCAAATATTTTATAAGTTCCAGTTCGCCGATGGAACTATTTAGTGTTAAGTAGTTTTCACGTTTCTCTGTTGTATCCTGGAAAACAATTACTCACGATCCTCTAGCACCTTATGAGGGGGTAAATATGTTTTAAGGAAATCGTGTTTTCACGAGTTTCAGATTTTCTTATTTCTTAAAGTTACCATTGTTCATCACAGATACCGTATTCAATTTTTCAACACTTTCTACATTAGTTAGTTATATGCACAAAACTGAAACCCATTTTTTTGTTAATCAAAACCATCTCTATAAACATATATAGCCAAAAAAAAAAGAGGAGAAAATAAGATCAAAGTTCCCCGCCACTTTTTTTTGGTATCTGAAGCACGGTGTAAATGGTGTTATTAAAGCAAATATTTTCACTACTCCCTTCGTTCCAAAATAAGTGTCGTTTTAACAAAATGGAGAAATTTTAAAATAATTGTCGTTCTCACATTTCAATACACTTTTTTTTTCTAAAGTTTTCAAAATTACCCTCAAAAGAATTAATAGTATTGGTGGATATTTTTTTAATAGGGTTGGTTGAAGATATTAAGTAATTTTATTATCCTATTTAAGAATTTTTTAAACTATGTGCAAAGTGTAGGATGACACTTATTTAGGAATAGAGGGAGTATGTATAAAGACAACTTTATTTAGATAAATGAATTTATGAATATTAATATAATTACTAACTTTTTTTTTAAAACTAACTTAAATTTTGTTTTTAAAAATAATGCATAACCTAATCAACCTTAGATTGGGCTTTTTTTTTTGCTAGCCCAATGGAACATTAAGAGAAAATAAAATAAGCACAAAGATTCTAAGATAAATAATATAGGGTAAGAAATATCATCATAATAAAATTGTTGGCTAAATATATATAAAGTCTAGGGTGGGACCAATGGGGGCCATGCCCCCTGGCCCCACCCTAGATCCGTTAGTGTTTAGGTCACTCAAAATAAAATGAAGTTTGGAGAATCGTTATTGATCTATATTTCTTCTTAAAAGTTTGAGGTTAATTATATTTAAGTTGAGGTTTAAATCCTCGCCGTTCAGAAGTATATGGTATTACTAGTATTGTTTCGTAGCGCGTTACACGATCAGTTTATATTTAGCATTATTATAATTTATTTCTATCCAAAATATTATGTGTTAAGGCGTTGGATTCGAATTTTGCCCTTCTTTACATCATATTAACTGCATTAATAAAATTTATTCGATTTACTTTTCGAACACACCTTTCAAAAAAAAAAAAAGCTAATGATATTGCTAAAATAATAATTAGCTACCAAAACATTATTTTACCAAAATTACCTTCAGTTTATAGAAGCCCATGGAGTTCCACCTCAAAACCAATTGGCAACCCATGGAGTTCTCAAAACTAATTAGCAATGAAGGGAGTAGCCCATATACTTATATATTGATATCAACTCTCAAAACCAATTGGCAATGAAGGAAGTAGCCCATATACTTATATATTGATATTAACTCTCTCCCACCACCGATGTGGGATACTCAACACTCCCCCGCAAGCCCAACGTCTCTTCTTGGGTTGGGCTTGTCAGCCCAGTCACCGCCTCACGTCTCAGCCCTACCAATTCAATCACATCAGGCTTGGAGTTCGACTCCCCCGCAAGCCCAACGTCTCTTCTTGGGTTGGGCTTGTCAGCCCAGTCACCGCCTCACGTCTCAGCCCTACCAATTCAATCACATCAGGCTTGGAGTTCGACTCTTAGCGGGCTGGCTCTGATACCATATAGAAGCCTATGGGGGTCTACCTCAAAACCAATTGGCAATGAAGGGAGTAGCTCATATACTTATATATTGATATCAATTCTCTCCCACCACCGATGTGGGATACTCAACACAGTTATGTCAAACTTTGATTCATCTCCTCCCCTTCATTTCTAACCACCCATCTTTTATTGTATGTCCCTGATCATATTTCTTCGCAAAAGATTAAAAGTTTATAAGGAAAATGAGGCGTCGTTCATCTTTGTCATATTGAGGTGATAACAAAGTTCAGAACATGAATTGTTAGATTAGGGGAAAAAAAATACTAATAAGTAATAAAAAATAACCATTAAGTATTGGGGAAAAAATGAGATGGGATCCGCCATTCTATCGATGGCTCCGGAAGCACCATATACAGACTCAAGATTTTGACGGTTTATATTTGTCTCTTGGATTTTGATTAGCATCCGAGTTCTATATTTTATTGCCACCCCATTTCTTGGATCAAGATCCTCATATTTTAGAAGATAGTAGTAAAACTTTCATCGATAAAGTATGAAAACGTAGAATCTTGATTGATAGTTTTGAAGATGGAGGAGAATTGACAAATAATTGTGATCGTGATGAAAATGAGGCCTAGATTAACTTGCGAGGAGAATCATGATTGTGGTTTGAGCCTTAATAATGATGTTTTGGTTGGCAGCGGGAGGAGGGGCGTTGGAAGGTGGGAAATAAGATGTTAGTGTAAACCCTAGTTGTATTATCTAAATAAGTGTATTTTGGATAAAATATATATAATTTGTTTTGGCAGCTAATTATTGTTTTGGCAATATCACTAGGCAAAAAAAAAAAAAAAAACTTTTAGAAGACAATAGACAAAAATAAAAAGTGTTTTTTTGTTAGAATTTTGGCTTTTAGATTTTGTAGCTTGATTTTGTTTACTTTGTGAAGAAGATCAATGATTCTATTATGGGTTATAACAAAAATCGTGGCAAGGGAAAGCATTTTGCCAATCAAAATTTTTCCATATATCATCCAACTAACTATTTCATGGCTGATAATCCTTCTAATTTTAGTCAACACATCATATCTTTAATGACGCTTGTGTTATCACATTTTTGCGATACATGCGCTTAAACCAAGAGTTAAAATGAAAATAACTCGCTTAGATTTTGTTTTCAATAGCAGCTTTTGATTTCCAAACACATATCATAACTCGTTATTTGAGTTTGATGACCGTACGAAAGAATTCTAAATTATGATCCCTTCGAAACTTTACTAATTCATTCTGAATTTAGCCTTGCGCTAAAATCTTAATTACATTTCCGTTGGTAAAATAATTCTACTTCCATTTTATTTAATGTATCCTTAAAATAAAAAAGAGCAAATGACACAACAATGGTCTAAAGCATGAATAAAATTCAAATTCACATAGAATCTCAACAAATGAATTATATACAATATTTAGATCATAAGAATTGAATTCCTTTTTCTTTTCTTTTTTTTTTCTGGGAGCCTAACTGTTCCTATTAACTAAAATTAAAAAGCATTGTTACATTAATAGATGAATAAATTAGGGGTTTCATCAAATCGTATGATCAATTTTTATTCTTGTCCAAAGATTTCTTTACGACATATTCTCACATAGCAGTAAATGTGTATTAAAAGTCAACTTCTCAATTTGCCGCCAATAGTTCCCGGATCAGCCAATCCATCATGTGATTTGTCTTGTTTCTCTTCTATTTATTTACATTTCCATCTTGTTTTATTGTTTTGGAATTGAATTTTGTAACTATACTCCCTATATAATCTATATCATGTAACTATTTAAACCTTTAACACTTCAGGAAAAAGTTATATAGAATGGGAATGGGAGGGTTGGTGGAGTGATTAGGGGATTAGGATGGGAATGAATATTACTAGAGTTCGATTTTCGTTGGGGTCATTTTTTTTTATTAAAAAAAAAGAAGTGCTACATTTATGTAGAATAATGTGATCTCTGATCAGCTCGTTTGTTGAGTTCTTTTCTTACCTTCTCATTTGAATCGTTTTGAAATAGTTACATTTGAGTGGGACAATTAGCATAATACATAATATTTTTTAAAAATAAAATGTAATAGGTGTTCTCAATTTTTTAATTTAAACAAACAAATATAAGTAATTGAAACACAGTTTCCTAGTAATTGAAACACATATAAGTAGTTATATTTATGGTCAATATTGCGTTCTTCTTCCGATTAATATGTGTAAGGATAATTTTCTTGACTCTTAAATCTTAATAGCTGAAGAGAAAGTGTAAAAATAGTTTATTTTTATTGAATTTTCTATATGTAACAGTCTAAACCCATAAAGTGTTGCTAAAATGTTCTTTATCTATTCTAAAATAATAGTCTATACTATATTGAATTTTAAAACTTATTCTAAAAAGAGTACGATTCTCAAAACTTAATACTAACTATTTTTTAAAAAGGAGTTAGTTTACTTATTTATTTCAAATCGTAACAATATTCCAACCCCCCGACTAATGGCTTGGCTTATGACAAAAAAAAAAAAAAAAAGGAACAAGTCATCATGCTTGGAAAATGTCATGTTTTGAATTAACTCAGATAAGGAAACTTACGTGCAATGCTAGCTTATCACTTATGCCTGATCATCTTGATATAATTCCAAAAGAAAGGAAAAAAAAAAAAAGAGCTCCGAAATTAGATTTTTCAAAGTGTTTATGAGAATGGATTTTTCAAAGTTGAGATTGCGTTTCAAACTATAACCGTCAGTTTGACTTTTCTAGTTCCATATGGCGGCGACATATGCAAACTCTACTTATATAAAGGATTCGTTTGTTATTTTGGCGCAAACAGAGTAGATAGATACATCAGGTAGCGCAACAATAATCAGAAATAGCGTTGACATGGCCGTGGCGGCAGAGTCGGTCGCAGCTAACACGCCACCGTCATCAGCTGCCGGCGGTGGCAGAGGAATGGTGATGGTGGTGGGCCCGGAGGACTGTTCTCCATATCCCATGGAGCTGGCAATGAAAAGGAAGGTTTTCTCCAGGTCCGAAAAGCTAGCTTTCACTGGTGTCAGCGGCAACATCCTCTTTCGAGTTCAGTCCTTAGGATTTAGTAGGAGGAAGCTGAGAATCGTCGATGCTGCCGGAGTTCCTATTCTCACTCTCAAGCACAAGGTCGGTTTCTCTTTTATTTAATTCATTTTTCTGGTCAAATAACCAATTATTAATATGGATTTTTTTCACGTGGACAAAAGTTTATCGTTATAATTTGATTTGAATGAATTAGGAAAATATGGCAAATAGTTTAAAATTGAGACTTCACTACTCTGACAAAAACAATCTCATATACTCTCTTTGTTCTGAAATAATTATCTAGTTTACAATCCAAATAGGACAATCATTTTAAAATAAAGGAAGTAATAATCTTTTAGTCCCAAAATAGAAACTTGGACTTTTGAGTGCATGTGATTTGGTCATGTGTTTTTGGAATGTCTACAGGCATGGAGTTGGAGGGGAAGATGGCAAGTATTTAGGGGGGAAGGCAACCATCTAATCTGTAGTGTGAGGAGCAGCGCTTCTGCGTTTTTCCAAACGAAAAAGAAAGTGTATTTGGCAAACAACACCACCGAAAATGTTTGTGATTTCCAGATTCAAAGATGGTGCCTTGAAGACTCTTATGTCGTTTATGCTGGTGAATCCAAAACAACTGCTGTCGCCGAGGTATACATAATTTGTGGAACTTTTTTTTTTAAAAAAAAAAATTCCATTGTATTTTTTGATTTTGAGCATGAGTAGCTAGCTATTCACTATGTTCTCTTTTTGGGATGGAGGGATAATGTTTTAATTAGATAATGATTAATATAATTGAAATTATAATGATTTTGATTATCAGACTCACGAGCCTCCGCCGGGATTTTTCTCTTTGGGAAAAGGTAAGTACACAGTGTCGATTCAACCGAATATCGGCCACGCTTTCATCGTCGCGCTCACAGTCATTCTCGACGCTATGAAGTCCAGTGGTGGGGGAGGGGGTGGTGGTGATTTCGGTGGTGGTGGTGACTAATTTACATCTTAAATTTGTTGGTGGATGTGGTGCAATATGTAACGCTTCAAATTATTGTAACATTTTATGTGTGAAGTTAAGAATTATCCATATCTATAGTACTTAGTCAACTATATGTAAGACTAAACAGGATTAAGTAGCGTATATGGATGGACTAAGCAGGATTAGTTATTAGTCAACTATAGTTGTTGTAACAAAAGTCACATTTTATCTTACTCACCACATAATATCTGAAGTCACTTTCATGATCACTACTCTGAATTCGAAACTAGCTGACAAATATTTAAATTGCTATTACATGCTTTGATTCTTGTTTCTTGTTGAAAGCTTTAAACTCACGACGCTCCTCCTATTAGAATCACAAAAATTTAATAGATATTTAGCTTGATTTTAATTTGACCAACAATGAAAATGTTCATGGTCAGTGAAATCTCAACAATGAAAATAAATATATTTATCAATTTATCTCCAAATGAATAGTGTATCATTTTCATAATAGTTGTCACAATCAACATCTCAAAGGTTTACTTATATTAACAAGCGATTCGTTCCATTTGGTAAAGATATACTCCCTCCATTCTAAAATATATGTCGCTGAATGAGTTTCACAAAGTTTGAAGAGACAATAAAGATTTGATTAAAATACCAAACTACCCTCATTTATTCTCAATACAATTCTATTCTCAATATCATTTAGTTATAATACACTTCTATTTTAAATACAATTACAATTTCTCATGTAGGGGCAATGTCAGCAGAAATTGACAAAATATGTCTAAATATGCGAAAACATCTATTTTGAAAAAACTTGATTTTCCTCCAACGACATATATTTTGGAATGGAGGGAGTACTGAATTACATCAATCATGACTCATGTTTAGCATGTGTGTAATAGTAATTAAAACATGCGTTTAGAGAATTTTGTATCTTGTAAACTTTATTTATCTTGAATATGAATTAATATGAACATGAGATGAGTTCGTTTTTTTTTTCCCTCTTTTTCTTCTTCTTTTTAAAAGAGTTTAATGGTGGTTCCTCACTTACAGTTTACGTGACTCAAAAATGAGATGAGTTCGTTTAAAACTATCTCGTGAGTCGTATAAAAGACAATACAATTATTCTTTTTTTTCTTCTTTTTTTTTTGGTACATCAAGATGAGGCATAAGCTTAAAATAAAGAAACTAGTAAACTCCTTGGATAAGAGACACCCATGACGTTGTATCTATGGAATCGCACCACTAGGAGGATCATCTAAACAAACTAGCCCTCCAGGACCATCCGCAGCAAAGGACGCCAGAAAATCTGCCACGAAATTTGCCTCACGACACTCGGATTGCTTGCAATATACTTCTATGGAGACCACTAGCTGCCACATCACTAGAGATTAACTTCACGGCACATTGACTGTCTGTTTCCATCAAAACTCGACGAAAACCCTTGTCCCAGGCAAGTTTTAAGCTCCTGAAAAACTCCCCACAACTCAGCACCCGTAATGGTGCAAAACCCTATATTCATAGCAAATCTCCCGGCCAATTTCCATAATGATCTCTCAATATTCCGCCAGCACTCGCCATCCCTGTGGAAACATTAAAGGTGCCATCAGAGTTAACCTTCATCCAATCAACCGGTGGTGCAATCCATCGTATCCAAGTGTTCTCCCTCCCCACACCAACTCCACCAAACCTCCTCTCACCAGCTAAAGCCGCAGAAATGCTACTAATATGTCTCTCCACATCCTTCAATTTTCGACTATCATTGCATTGCTCATTCGAAAAAAAGAAAAGCATTTCTTTGTGCCCAAACCTGCCAAAAAGTAACACCAGACATACGTTCCCAATGATCCTTATCAATGCCAATTGCATTGACTAAGTTTTTCCAAAACCACTCCTCCAAAGGCAGGGTAAAAACTCAGCCAAGTTTTTGGACGGAACAACTCGAGACCAAATGCATGATGCTTTAGGGCAATCGCGAAGAGCATGAAGAATGGATTCCGCAGCACCCCCACACAAAATACACTCCGGCGAATCCGCAATTTGACGATACCACCGCTGCAAATTTGTTAACAGTGCTCCCTTCGCCGCGAGCCACATGAATTGCCTGATTCGTTGCGGACCTGACCAGTGCCATATAACCTTCCACACTCTTCTAATATATGTGATTGTGTATTGGTCAACCTAAAAATTGTTGAAAAGGAGATCCCTTTAACTTCAACACTTTAACTTATGCCTAAAAGGCTAAAATTTATGGACGGGTAAGGTAGGACTTAGCCTGTACGGTTTCTTTCAATTTTTTCTTTTTAAACTTTTGAAAACTTAAACTATAAATACATAACTATATTGTTCTAACCATGCATCATAGAGAGATGTGAATCTTATTAGCTCAAGTGCGAAGAGCAATAGATAATACTAAGACGTCTTCCCAACTTTGAATGATAACCAGTTCAAGTCAACACAAAATGAGGCGCTGAATTACTGTAATTTGACTTGAGGTTGATATTGAAATGAAAAATGATTCATTACACATAGGTTGAGAATGATGATAAATTAGCTAAATCATCGAATTATATTAAAAACTCGTAGATTTCAGTTCAATATTTAGGAGACACATTATAAAGGTTTTACAGCCCTCGGTTAATCAGTTCCTGAAACCGTTTAAAGGACTCTACTCTCTCAACCTTGAGTTGGTTCCTGAATTTGTTGATGAAATCTTCAGCCACTGTGTTCACATCCTCCATAACCAGACGTTTTGCCATTAATCTCGACGAGGATGATCTTCCTCTTCTGTTGTATTCATCATTGATCTTCCTTGTGCTCCCATTAATCCCTTCAACAATAGTAGCTCTTCCCACATCATTTCTCTGCTGTTGATCCATATTTTACTGCTTTGAAATGGTCAAGTTTCTTGAAAACTTAGGAAAGAAAAATGATGATCTTCAAGGCTGCTGATTTGATCAACTGGTGAATGGAGTAGTATTATTTATAGGCGTGAAAAAGAGATGAAGTCAAGTTTTCTATTTAAGTTTAATTAAAGCATGAGTTTAGTGTGACTAAAAGCAAAAGGAAAGCTAGAATAAAATTGAAAAGAAAAAATGGTGGAAAAAGAGGATCAGAAAAGATGATATACCTTTTTGATGTGTAAAAGAGATTATAATTTTCTTTGTGGCTTGGAAAGTAATATGGAAGATGAAGATCCTTGGAAGAAAAGTTTATGCTAGTTTCTTTTTTCTTGAAAATTCATGCACTAATTAAATGGGAGAAGAATAAATTATTCATTCGGCCAACGCAATCATACATAAGTTTAAGCTTTATTAAAGCAGCAAGAGCGTGTACAATGACAACCTATATTTGCTAATAAAAAATTATCCATTAGTTAGTCACATTTTAGAAATTCACAGGGACTCCACCTACATAATAAACAAGATTTCTTCGCAGGTGTTAAACCCTACCTCTCTGTTGTTGCACACTAAAACTCGTTTAGGAAGTGTTATCTTTAAGAAATTGTTTTACAAATTAATTATTGTTTTTGCCAAAAGTTATGATGAATCCTGTAATCAAAGAGAATGTATGTTAGTGAATTTTCAAAATTTTGACAACTCTAAAACATAATTTTACATGTGTCAGTTTTTCTATATTGTTGAATGAAGGATCAAGCTGCATTAAATGAGGTGTAACATAAGAATTTTATCTAATCCCAAATAAATAGTTCTATATATGCATTCTGATTAAATCAGATTATGCATGGAATAAATCCATTAACTTGATTAATCACCATGCTCCTCTATATGCTGATTATGTTGGAATCGTACGTGTGTTATCAATATGCTGAAAGGGATTGCAACTTCCAACTAATTAATAATTAATAATGCTATCGAAGTGAAAGAATGACTAGGCTGACCTAACGCTTACAAAATACATTTTCCATTCCACTAAAAAATGTCATCTACAAAACCAAGCACTAAAGTATCCATTAAAAAATGTCATCTGCATAAAAGTACCAACTCTTAATTTCTTTTTCCTTTTTTTCCCCCTCAAATTTCAATTCCATCGATAAATTAACCGCTCCTCCCATCTCCAGACGTGATTCAATCCATGAACCGATCACATATGTGCTCAAACTTTAACCATTTAGGCTGGGTTGACTACTCAATCCTGAATTTCAAGGGATTATAAACATTCACGCGTTACAATTTACTAGTTCAATTTTGAATATTTCATTGGAGATGTGTACGTACTTTACCATCAGTCCAAAAATTCTCAAGGTTTTAGATTTCCAATTAATCCATAAAATTGTATCATAATTTGTGTTTGTTTTGGAATCATTATCTATATATATATAACCTTTAATAAAAGGTTGTTTTCTGCTGCGTAAGCCAACCCTAACCCGCTAATCCTTATTATAATAATCAGCACTCAGTACCATTCTCTCCGTTCTAAAAAAAATTCATTCGCAAAATGTACGTAATTAACATGAAAATTTGTTTTTTGGTTGTTTGTTTTTTCTTTTTTCGAATGCAAGAATTACTGTGCACACGATTGGCATGAGAAAACAAAGTCCAAATATAAGTTAAAAAGTGGAGACGAAGAAGAAAGTGCAATTCCAAAGCTCCATAAATTAAAAGGTACTAATCCATGTCTCACATGAGAAATGCAGAATACAAAGAAGAAACAAGACCCAACCCCCAAAAAAAAAAAACACAACATTTGCAAATGAGAAGGCTAGCTGTGCCAACAGAGATGGTGGGTGGTTTTGATTGGGACTTTTCAGATCAATTGATCACGAATTGATGAACCGGCTTTGTAAGGTACACAAACATAAGAGGAAATGTAAACCTACTTATTTTTGTAGGTGGTACTACTAATCAAACTTCAATGGAGGATCGTCTTCTGCATTTGGTCTGACAATTGAAAAAAAAAATAAAAGAGCTTAAATATTTCAGGATACAATATGAAGCGCGACGATGATCATCAACCCTAAAACCATCTCGATTCTCAACCATCCGATCGTCCTTGATCCTCCATTCTTACTTGCAGTGGTTGATTGCACATTACCACCAGTACTGGAACCTATACAAATCCCCAAAATAAATAACCTCGTTTGTCAGAAACTGAAAAGGAATTGAAGAAGAAAAATGATTTAATTAGTACTACCAATAATGGAGAGGAATTAATTAAATGTCCGTTGGATAAATTATAACGATGTTCATGATTGGGACCGTTATCGACGTAACCTGTGCTAACATTAATATCACATGAAAAAAAAAAAAAAAAATCATGGTTTATTCCGTTTCTTTTTTTCGAAGAAAATTGCAAATTTTACATGGTGGAAATTGGTTGACAAAATAAATATATTTTTATTCAGCTTTGGAAGGTAGGCCAAAATGGCCAAACTTGAAAATAAAATAAAATTAGAAGGTGCATATTTAGTTATTAGTTACATTATTCTAGTATAACAATAAAATATCGTTTTTGAGACGAAAGAAGTATATAGTTTCTACGAATGCATATATCACTTTGGTAGAGCGTACCAGAATGAGGAGATGGGGCAGTAACGCTTCCATTACCACTGTTTCCAAAATCATCAAACACTTTAGCATCTGGAGAGTTGGGTGGCAAATGCAACAGCGCTGCCGAAAATACAAAAGAAAGAAATGATTATGTAATTCATGGCCTGTCTCTCGTAAAATAAATGATATATCCAGTAATTCTCTTTCTTTTTTAAAAAAAAAAAAAAAATCGTTACTGTATAAATGATACATACAGGAATTCTCTTTTTTTTTAAAAAAAAAAAAATCGTTTTAACAGATAATACAAAAGTATGGAATATGGGCAAATGGATTGACACAACAGGCATGAAGGACCAAAAATAGTTGTCTTGAATGTATATGCATTTTGTACAATTTGATTGTACACTTATTAAATATGTTTGGACCAACATATAATTGCACCGCCTACAGGTAAATGGCCAGTGTTCAAGAAAGGGACACATCTACAGTTACCTGTTCAATACTGTTGTTGGGACGTGGCTAGTTTACAGTAGTACTACTAACATTTTTTCTTCTCTCTCTTCTTTTTTTTTTGGTGGGGGTGGGGGTGGTTGAACATTTTTCTTCTCTCTTTTCATGTTACCACAAAGTATTTAGGAACCGTGCCTAAATGCCATTTTCTTATTTCATCTTCATGAAACGGTAGTTTTGTGGTTTCCTGAAGGGGCGGGTCACTGATTTCATCATGATGTAGTGCAATTTATATCTATGTTACGATAAATTAATTTAATGAGTAATTCTCTCTAACAATTCGGAGATTTTTTCGTCGTCAAAGAATTTTATACAGTTTTCGAATTCATTGCTCTAACAATCAAGGTAACAAGACACTAAAGTCAAAAACGGGTCTTTTAATGTCACGCGCATTAAACTCGATTTTGACCGTATTGCTTTCTGTAATTGAAATGACAACTAGCAAATTAAATGATGAGCCCTTTTCAACTATTTTCTTTTCATGGTCCAAAACAAACGACTAAAAGTGGTATAAGATATATCACCAAGTTAAAAGATCCGATACGGTGATTTATTCTCACTACGTTTTATGTGAAAAAATGGTTAAACAATCATGCTAGATCAACAATGGGTGCTACATAAAATATCTAATGATCATGTTTATCTCACTCCCTAGATTATACAATCAATGCTTAAAAAAATATTTTATATTAAGTTTTCAAATTTATACGGTAATATAAATTTTCTACTTATTGACCGAATAAAATAATTCCGTGGAACGAAAATAAGACGGAAAATCACTACTTACCGGGGCAGTCTTTGACGTTGGCGGGCGTTTTACATTTATCAGGAAGTCCGAGTGCCAAAGTAGCATTGATTTTGAGACCGAGGCTCGGATCATTTCGGTCCCTAACCAAAATACAAAGGCATTCCTTGCTCTTATCCAGCACAACTTTGAGTCCACTGCAACAATCCATCGTCGGAGCTTTGGCATTGGGATCCCCGCTTACGTACGGAAGGCAACCCACCAAACCTACGAGTTGGTTGGCACATTTCTGCCTGTCTTGACTCACATCTGCACCACACAACAACAAAAGCAAACTGCAAGTTGTCAAGAATAAAATGGTTAGGGGAATTTGGGGCTTGATGTGCTCCATTGGTCTGGAAACTGACGAAAAAAAAATATGAGAGAAGGGTTAATGAAGAAGGAAAGGAATAGTGGGATGGAATGGTATTATATGGATTCTGGAAATCTGATCGAATTAGTGTTGCATGATTTTTGGGGCTTATTTATTGGCATAAGAAAAAAACAAGTTGGCGTTGTTGGTGTGTGCATTAATTAAATTTATAACGAGATGATTGCAAAATTGATTTACCTGCGCGATTGGGTACTGTATTTGTATACTGTTGTGAAAACTGATCATAGGACTGATCAGCATTCATTTGGTTATATATTTATGTAAAAGATTTATATACGTTGAAGATCGATCAGCTTATCAAAAAAAAAAAGCCATGTGGAAATTAGTTTCATAGGTGATAGGGCAATAACTCTTCGCATGTGGATACTGCCTCCATTTTTTTTTTTATATGTCTTTCTAGAGAAATCATCAAAACTAAGAACATATTAATTAATATAGTTAAAATACAAAAATATCCTTATTTATTGTATATATATAATTCATCACAAACTAATAGAAATTCATCATAAATATTGTTTCATTTCCAATGCAAGGGTAATATTGATAAAAAGTGGTCACATATGCCTCAATTTGTGAAAACGACATATATTTAAAAAAATTTACCAAATCCTAAAACGACATATATTTCAAAATGGAGGGAGTAATTTTTTACTTTTTTCCAGTCACTTCATTTGTGTTCAAGTTGAGTGTCTTATAGAAAAAGATTTAGAGAAAAGTTCAAATGTGGTCAAATCTAAATATGAAAACTATATACCTGAGTAAACTTTATATATAGGCGAGGTGCAGATATGAGCAACAAACATTTTATTCACATCATTCACCATAAATTCTCTGTGCAGATATGAGCAACAAACATTTTATTCACATCATTCACCATAAATTCTCTAAGAATTTTATCTAAGAAGAATATCTGTTTGTACTTTTAGTTGATGGGTATAGCAGTCTTACAGAGCTTATACGTTTAGATATTGAGCTTTCAGTTGTATCTTTTTCCTCGCAGCTAGATGGTTTCGATATGTAGCTCTAACATGCCGACTGAATTAAAGAAATTTGTTATTCTTTCCGGCATATTCACTTTGTTGTACTAAATAATTAAATAAAGAAATTTTTTTTGGGCAAAAGGAATATAATAATTTGGTAATAACATCCATACACTTAGCATATGTTATTTTTTTTCTCCCTTTTATATTACACTTCTTAGACATTTGTTAACTTTTTGGCACGGGTCTTCATAATCAATTTTTAACAATGAATCAAATAATCAGAACATGCCAACTATTAAATTAATATAACGACAAATGTAATTAACGGCAAGTGTTATACTTATCCTTTGTTGACAATTTGAGTATGTAGCCTCGTGTCAAGACTCAAGACAATTTTTGTGAGATGACAATTATTTTCTGTACTCTCGTGATCAGACTAAATAAGCAACTAAGAACAAAAAAAAAAGAAAAAAAAAAAGAAGCAACTAGTAGTACTACATGTTATGTACTCTCTCTGTCTCAAAATTATTGTCTAATTTGAGATATCACTTTTAGTACAATTTGAACTAGAAATGAAAATTCAAATTGGACAAGAATTATGGGACGGAGGGGTATGTTTTTTAGCAGTTTGTGCAACGAATTTGTGAGAGTATGTGGCCTTTTTGGATTGTGATGGTTAACCAATTGTTGGGCCATGGAAATTAAGGAAAACGTGATCCTGATAACTGTGCTTTTAAACGGGGGCAACCACCCCGTGATAGTACGATTTGCCTGATTAATAAATAACGTTGAGATTACACGAAAACCCAAATTCTCAATTAATCACAAGCACACAGCTCCCACATGATGCCAAACTTCAAAATTGTTGGACTTCTTCCGAAAAAGGGTCTACTTTGTTTTTTTTTTTTAATCAAAATAGTATAATAAAATGTAATTATTTCCTGAGATGGAAGAAATAACTTGTATGGTCCGCATTTTGATGCATTCGTTTTTGGTACTCCCTCCATTCCAAAATAAGTGTCGTCCTACACTTTGCACATAGTTTAAGAAACTCTTAAATAGGGTAATAAGATTACTTAAATATTGTCAACCAACCCTATTATAAAATTGTCTACCAATAGCATCAACTCTTTTGAAGGTAATTTTGGAAACTTTTGACAAAAAGTGCATTGAAAGGTGAGAACGACACTTATTTTGAAATTTCTCCATTTTGCTAAAACGACACTTATTTTGAAATGGAGGGAGTACATGATTCATGTAATGTCGCAAGTGAGCAAATATTCATATCCAGCTATGCATCCTCTTGTCTCAGACTCTCAGTGGAGCTCTTTCGGAGTTATTTTTCTCACAGTTAAATCATGTTTTAAAGTATTGTTCCGTTTATTAAATGGAAAACTTTAGAAAATACTGAAAATAATTAGACCAATCGTAGTGGGAAAAAAATAAAAATTCTCAGGAGCTTACTTGAATGATGGTGAAAACAACAGTTTGGCATACTAATTAGATTGTTGAGCCATTATAATTTTTCAATTAGTGTATTCTAGCTATTTATGTCAATCGATGGTTAGGACAAACTCCTGCAGAGTTGATAATATTACATTCCTATTATTAAAAAGAGAAATAATAGAGATAGTGACTAATTACAATGAAAAAGTATAGTGACTAATGAAAAGACAAATAAACCATCCTCAATAAATATGTGTACTTATTAATTAAGGGTAAAATTATAATTTTTAGGGAAAGATAAAATTTTAATAGGAAAGTGGCAAAAAAACTAGGGGCCAAGAGTACTCCACATCACTCACTATCTTTTTTCACTATTTTTTTTCACTGGATATATCATCATATTTTGCCCACTTAAAATATTGAAACGGCTAGATCTAAGAAAGAGTAAATTTCTAATGAAATTGCTCGATGATTAATGCAAAAGATCTTATTCCATTTTTAGACTATGAACTAGGAAAAAAAATAATTCATACATATATTTTAGATTAATAAAGAAAATCATGTTTTTGCTTGCTTTAGAAATACCACGATTGGACGAAAAATAGAATCTCAAATTTTGCTAAAAAGAAGATAAATATTGAGATTTTTTTGGTGCAAATTGTTGGAGCCGACTTCGTCATTTACTTGGAAAATCTGACAAAAAAATAAATTAAAAAAATTCTCATAGTTAAAATTAAAAAGTGATGAATAAACTAAAATATAACAGTTGTGAAAGTCAAAATGTAAATAAAATTTTTGTTTGGAAGAAAATAAGAAAAAAAAAGCAGCGCTGATTTTGTCGTCGTGTTCAGTAAACGACGAGCAGCTCGACGATATAGGATATTTGACGTTCATTTTTGAAGTTAATTAACACGACTTCAAAACCCCGAAAAAACAAAAAGAATGCTTTAACCCATTGTCGATCACTTCATCGGGATATTAAAATGACGGGAAAGTTGACGGCTTTGAAAATTTCCCTTTTTCTATCAGATTTTTTTGATGGTTATGCAGCATTTCCACAGTTATTATTTTATGTTATTATAATGAAGTAATTAAATTGTACTGTTATATTTTTATAGAAAATACGATGTGTAATATTCACAATCATGTGTTTATTTGCATAAAGAAGAGAATGCCAACGTTTCTTAAAAATAACATTTATTATAATAAAATACCAATCCAATATTCCACGACAGGATTTACATTCGTTGCATTGCGAACACATTCAATTTATCTACAAGGACGATCAACTGTACATGATTTCTTACCACCCTTTCTCGGTTTGATTTTTTGGTTCCATTTCTGCCTTTAAGAGTACCAGTTTATATTCCTTTCCACGAAGATAATTAACCTAGATTAAAAAAAGGGGGAAAAAAAAAAACAAAGGAACCCTGCGTTTAAGAAAATTAACTAACATATGGGCAGCGAGGCAATATTGATGATCCTCTTGGGGAACTTTTCTTCTTTATTTTTTTCCAGTTATTAAATGCAATTTGTACTTTGGCATTATGGTAGGACACAAGGTATTAAGCATAGATAGGTGACAATACAGCGATTCAAGAAGCTGATCACCACCAGTTTCACCACTTCTACATCTTTTGTGGCCTTTGAAGGACTATTAGCTTTGTGTACAATTTGCCAGCGATAAATGAAGAGTCCATATGTATTGAGTTGTATAAATATATATAGTTCAAACTCACATCTGCCCCACTATTGCCGTATGTTTTATTGGTGGATCGTCTTTTGTATACGTTACAAAGTCGATATAGTATCCTTTACGTATATTAGGTTGTTTAGTATCAGACATAGTGACTAATTTCAGAACCAATTAATATAATTAAGATGGATTGTCATATCATGCGTTGAGGGGAGGAGATTTCACAAATCAAACCTATTTCCGCCAAGTATTTGTTTTTGTTCATCGTAATCAATTTTATAAGTGACAAGAGTAATATCATATATCTCTGCTTACCAATTTGATAGGTCAAAAAATTCTTTAGATATTACTTGATTTTCTAAGCTAGAATTTAAATTGTTATAAACGACCTCTTTATTCAAATAACAGACAACTTAAATAGAAAAGGGTGTCCCAATAACTTAACTTGAAGACAAACATGCCAAAACCGCAACTTCCAACTGCTAAGAGTAAAATAAAGTTAATGAAGTTTAATAAATCCGAAGCACAAACATTAAATTCCAGTCGTTGTGATCATGCATGTGGATTGCATAAGTTCCAACGTGCATTCGAATTTTTCTCATTAATGTGTCCATGTGTATTGTATGGAATGATCCTACACCACTATAGATGGTTGAAATTAATTTGAAATTCTAGGTTGTTCTAAAAATTATCACACCTACAATGTTTACCTCAATCAATCGTCTTTTCTGTCTTGGCACTTTCAGATGTACAAAAGTACAAATCGAACATATATGAGATGATTATGTGCTAATTAAGCCTGTTTAACAGATCTCATGTTAATAAATATTTTCGTCTTATTCGATAGTTCACTTCATAAAAGTAGTTTGTAATATTGTATTTGTATATGAGAGAATTAAAATGGAAGCGGGTCATAAAAAGAATCAACAAGAAAGACTTAATTCCCACAAAAGCATGTTCAACGTTATATGCATTTGTCACGACATAAAAAACATGGTAAAAATAGTGAAACATTGGTGTAGACGGAAGATTAGAATGTTAGGGTTTTATTAATAAGGGTATTTTGGTAGTTTTACGTAATTAGTGATTAGGGTTTTATTGATTTTTTTTTCTATTTAATGGCTTCGACCGTTCATTTGTTAGATGACTTTTGATTATTGAAAATATTAAGAATTGTCTCAAACAAATCCAAGGTCTTCATTGTTGATCTTTGGTCATTAAGATTTCGGATATTCTTAAACTACATAATTTCTTAAGTTATTTTCTAGATATTCGTACACCGAATCAACGGATCTCAATGATTTGATTTAGGGTTACTTGTTCGCTTTCAAGATTAGGCTTCCGCTACTGCATCAAACATTCATGAGAAAAATAAGCAAAAGTTAAGATCTGGAGGAGTTCATGCATATCTCATCGAGAGCCAAGAAAAGATTTAATACTAATAGTTACATGTATCGATTAAACTACGAGATAAAAAAAAAAATATTATTACTACCATTTGTCAAAGCATGACTTCAATGAAAATGGAACTTGCGAGTAAATTTATTCGTTTTTGCCGGAAAGACTAATTGGACTAAAGACGTACCTATTACAAGTTATTAACATTGAAAAATTTAACTTTTCTTTTTCTTTCTTTAAAAAAAAATCACGGTGCAGGTCTAAATTAAAAAAAAAAAAAAAGGATTAAAATGAAAGAAGCAAACAGAATTTCTTCACTTAAGAAACAATAAATCATAAAACTTTCTCAATTGTATCTCATACATATTTTATTCTTGAAGAAGAATATTCTGAACTATATTACATAAAGATCGAATTCATACAATGATATTATTTCAATCATATCTGACTGTTGTTATTTATTGAAAAACTCGGAAACAAAAACGAAGGAAAATCTTAAGCAAGCAAGCGAATGACTATAACAAGACTGACTGAATAATTCAAAACAAAAGTTTTATTTTTTCTGATATTGATGCAGGCAGAAGCCCTATCAATCAGAATTGATTTAGGTTTACGAATATTCAGTCCGTCGAATTATCGAATACCTAAAATCAATATTAGTTTAAATCACCAACACATGGAACAAAATAAACCAGTCTACTAATTCGATCACCAATAAATGGACCAAACGAATTAGATTTGAGAAATCAATCTCGTTTATAAAATTCAACAATCAACTGCGCCGTACAATAAAGCGGCAAATCCCCTTGAATAGAAAAGATCGACATATAAATAAACCCTAATCAGCTAACTTAAAATTACTAAAATACCCATAAAACTAAAATCTAACTGCTTCATTTATTTTGTTCCTAGCCGCCATCATTCTCCCAGGGTTGGAGAAAATTCGTCCTCGAATTTTGGATGAAGATTTGCCCCGATCGAATGGAAGAGAATTTATCAATAAAAGTCCGAAAATACACCTAACAAAATAATAGATAAAAACAATGATAACAATAAAAACCCTAATCCTAATTTTCATCATTCTCCCGGGGTACAAAAAAACTCGTCCTCGAGTTGAAGAGTAGGTTTGCCCCGATCAACTAATGGGAAATCACCGAGTGGGATTGAGGGCGACAAACCGGCATCATCCGAAAAAATTTGCAGCTCCTTGGCGACTAAACACGCATCTCCGGCAGTGGCTACCACATCAATTGAAGAAGAAACACTGGCGGAATCATTATCACCATTAAGAGCAGCAAAACTGGCGGAATCGTCATCGCCATTGAGTAAATTAACACCAGTATTTGTAGCACAAGCAGACTCGTCCCAGCCGCCATCGTCATCGTCGGAGTAATCATCAAAGCCGGGTGGTGTTGGCCAATCAACGCAGGTCTCCCATGGATTATGATCATTGTTAAGCATGGATACAAATTCTAACCCAACATCACCGGGTACTACTTCAGCCCCCTCACCGTCAGAGTCATAAATGGGATCAGCGTCATCACCTTCAACCTCTAGCGTATCCGTCGCGTTTCCAAGAAGCTTGCCCTGTTCCACGGTCGTATGCAGTCCACCTGACGATGTCCATGTTCACCACAGTTGAAACACTTAAATCCTATGTTACCCGGACTCGGGTACGCATGTCCGATGCGACACGGGATCTAAGTGTCGGATACGTAAATTTTGTAAAAATAGGATACGTGGTTATGGATTTAGACACGGATGCGGGTACGGGGATATGATTTGTTCTTTAGTGTAATTCGTAATTTTTTGCAATACGAGGTTTAAGCTTAAAGTCATCAGATGAACTATATGAAGCCAAAAAGATTAAGCATAGTGGCTGAATAACAGAAAAAACCAAAAGCAAACTAATATTGATTTATGTAAATCCTAAAGTACAAAATAGCTTGGCTATTGGCATGTTGGATCTGGCATTAATCTAACACAAAATAGGAGAAACTGCCACATCCAACAAAACAAAAGACAAGATAAGAGAAATTGCCACATCCAACAAAACAAAAGACAAGATAACTAAGCGGTTAAGACCAGCAATATTCTTCTAGACAAAAACATGCGAGCAAAAGTTTCAGATTTTGGTCTCTCTAAACTCGCTGTAGATGGAGCTTCGCATGTGTCAAGCATAGTTCATGGAACTGTTGGATATCTAGATCCCGAGTAAGACATGTTCTATAAAATTAGCTTTTTTATCTGGTTAATCATATTCGATAGCTAGTACAGTACTATCTATAACCTAAAAATCAGAATTCTCACTTCTCATATTCATTCCTCACATCTTTCTTGTGAAGCCTTACATCTTACCTTTGTTTGCTCCATATATCACCATGCAGGTATTATATATCCCAGCAGTTGACAGAAAAAAGTGATGTTTACAGTTTTGGGGTCATTCTTCTGGAGTTAATATCTGGTCAAGAAGCTATTTCCAATGAAAGCTTTGGAGACAACTATCGCAATATAGTCCAATGGGTAAGATCACTTGATTGCAACAATGTCAACTGCTGTCCTAACAAATGCGGCCACTGATTTTGTTTGATTTCCTTAGGTTGGTTTTTCCTGATCTCCCTTTCAAGTGATACCAATCATGTTTGCACTTTCTCAGGCGAAGACTTATATCGAAAGCGGAGATATCCAGGCGATCATTGACCCGATGCTACACAATGAATACGACATTCAATCAATGTGGAAGATAGCTGAGAAAGCTTTGTGGTTTGTTCAACCTCATGGAAGCATGAGACCTCCAATATCTGAAGTTATAAAAGAGATCCAAGATGCAATAGTGATCGAAAGAGATGCAGAAGCGACGAGAGAAGGCAGTTCAAGTGATATATCCAGGCATTCCCTCTTTCCGTAACAATGGTTCACAAGACTTGGGTGCAAGTGAGCATCAGTTGTCTATTGATGATGACTCCATTGCTGGGCCAACTGCAAGATAGGCTGCTTTTTTTTTTCACTTGCTCTAACTTTCTGGTTCTGCACCTTCTTTTTCCTTTTCCTTTTCCCTTCTTCTACTATGCTATTCTTTATAGAGACTTTGGTTAGATTATGTGCAAAGCAAAAAGAAGTGTAATTTTTGAGTTAGGTGCTTTTGTGATTTTCCAAAACCATTAGAATGCTTCATTAGCAGGATTGTAAATTGTAGCCAGTACCGCTAGATGCATGATGTTGCTGCTGGTGCAAATTTTTGGTTAATATGATGCGCCAAGTTGCCCATGGCGATGGATATTCAGTTCTTTGGTAATTTTCTCCGTGACTTCTGATTCATCACCTCGATTAGTTGCAGTAAAATCGACATGAATGTACGTAACTCTTGAATGATGTTAGAATTTCTGTGACACTTATTATGTGACAGTTGATTACTCAAGCGTATATAAACGCACATATATAGTCGAGAATGTTCAGGAATTAGCCGAGATTTTCGCCTTTTCTGCTTCGTGTTGTAATTTTCTACGTTAAAAAAGGAAAGGAAAAAGGAACGGTTACATTTGGAACAAAACAAATTAAATAACAGCGCTTCCACGAGAGATGTAACCCCAAAGTAAGAGACGGACGATCAAAAGTTAGATCCTCTAAAATACTACTCGGAAGTTTGCCAAAATATGTAACCCCAGATCTAAGGCCAAGCCAAACTTGGCTAAGGAATCTGCTACTTTATTTCCTCCTCTTTTTATGTAGGACGTTTTTACTTGCCATTGATAGTTTAAGAGGGATATGTAACATTACTGGAAACAAAAGGCGGGTCATCAGCCAGAATATTCGAAACGGCCTGTGCATAAAAAGATTAATAGCATTGGAAATAGAAATTAGTTGAGCAACGCGCATCATTCAATGATAAATGACACTAGCAAATTAGCCCATTATCATTGACCCCAAAAAGGAACATGAAAATTACCATTATCAGGTAAAACAATACTGGGTTAGTACATTATCTAATGGGCCAAAACTCTGAGGGGGCGCTTAGCTGAAAAATTTAATAGGCAAGTCAATGAATTAGTCAGAATGCTCTGGACTCTTGAGGCCCGTAAACTTATCGGCTGATACAGCTCGTTAAAATCTAATTCACTCTCGCTATAAATCTTCCTACCTACCATTTTAACCCAAACAAATCCAGGAGTAGCCAAAAACTGAGAGACAGCAAAAAATATTTCCCTCCAGAGGTGTAAACCTTTAACCGTCGTCATCTTCCTTCCTTTTTTTTTCTCCAGTTCCATACTCTGTTTTCCTTCTTTCCTCTCCTATCTTGATAGGCTTCTAAATTCCGGTTTTATTCTAATTCAACAAAACGGATAACATGCCAGAATGGATTCTTAGCGAGCTGATCGGAAGTCAAAGCAAGGCGATTGAAGGTATGATGACGATGATGTTCATGTCCTTCATCTAGGTAATGTTCCAATTTAAAGAAAATAAATAATGATAAAAGGTGTAATGGGCTCGACAATGTTTTCAGGTAAAACAGCCGCTGCCCGGAAGTTGTTGGCCGGACTCAAGAAAGTGGCAGCCACCATCGTCGCCGATTTCCGTCTTCTCCAGGTCAAGTTTCTTTTCTTTTGGGCTTTTTCTTGGTGTTTTTGATGAGAAAAATATGATCTTTGAGGTGCTTTTTTATGATGCTGGGTTTTCTCTGTTTTGAGTGAAAAATGATATCTTTAAGAATCAAGACTCTGAATTGTGTTTGTTTTGGCAATGTTCTGTTTCTTTGAAGAGATTTGTTTGGCGTTTTTCCATAGATAGATTATTAGTTTCATTATCTTGGTTGGCATGATGGCGGTGTGGGTATGAGCTGATTAGATTTGGTATCATGTTTCAGGACTGTCCTTTTAAGACTTATCTCAGAAGAGATGAGGCCTTTTGAGTCTCTAAGGCATAAAACATTAGCTGTGGTGAAGGCTATCTCAAGGGTGCAGAATCCAACAGATCACGGGTTTGATGATGAAGAACAACTGAATTTGGATGTTAATGGGAATGCTGTAGACAACAATCAAGAGGAGGTCGAGGGGGCTGCCAATGAACCAGAGAAAGAGACTCGTCTCAAAATTCAACAAATTCTGGATACTGGCTGCCCAGTCATCCTGATGATAAATGAAGGTGTGAAGACTTTGGTTACAGGTCAAGCTGCGTTTTCAAGGTTAATAAAGTTTCTGGATGGATTTAGTGTGTCTAACATTTTATTTCCTAAAAGATGTTTCTTTGATTCCTAGACGATGGTAGAAGCTTTGTGCTATTAGTTCTAGATTTCTTGTGTATTGCTATTCCGGTCAATCTAGTACTACGTGCATCATACATTGTGCCGAATGCAAGCGAGTTCTGTAGCATTTAAGAAATTGTTGATGCTCGTAGCATTGTACCGTTATCAAAAGATAAGATTTTGACTAAAGTGGTGATCAATTTGTTGTGTCTGTTGATTGTGTATGTTTAGTTTTCTGGCTTTTTGTATTGAATGTGTGTTTTGATTGATTTGGTCGTGCTCAGTAACAGCAAAATATAGAATTCGCAGCATATTCACAAGAATGAATTGCCTGTGAGCTTCTTAATGATCGATTTCCAGTTACAAAAAGGAGGGGATGAGGGGGAGGGGGAAATCATGTAGATACTGTTTGATGACACTTAGGGTCAATCTTGTATACATGACGGGATGGTCCTTTCATCTGACAATCAATACACATCAACAATAGTGCTCAGCTATAGGTTCAATGCCATAATTCGGGACTAAAGAGCGAAATAGAAACCATGATTCTTCAACCAATCCAGCACGAGCACAAGCACCTAATAACGCAGTAAATGTAACTGGATCTGGCTGTAATCCTTCGTTTAACATCTCATTAAATAGATAAAGTGCAACGCCGGTATCTCCTTGAGCTGCATATCCTGAGATGATAGCAGTCCCAATAACCACACTCCTGTCTCTTGTTCTAACAAAAACAGTTTTCGCTCCAGAAATGAACCCAAACTTAGCATAATTATCAACAATGCCAGTTGCAACATATACATTCTCCTCGTAATCATGCTTAATAGCATACGGGTGTCTCTCTTTTGCAACTTTTAAATCTGATAGGTGTGAAAGTGCTGCAAGTATGCTTGAAATTGTCACAATACTAGGTCGAGCGCCAAACTCTAGCATCTCTCGAAAGAAATCTAAGGCTCCTTGGAACTGATTGTTCTTAACATGGCCAGAGATTATAGCATTCCAAGTACTCAATACAGGATCCCTCAATGAAACCATAAGCCATGTATCCTGAAATAATAGCGCCATATGTGATCTCATCCTTCTCACTCATCTCATCAAAAAGATCTCTGGCATAATCCAAGCTACCACACTTCGCATACAATGAGATAACGGAATTACAGGGTGTAACATCCATTTCAATATCATTTTCAATCACATATTTATGAACTTCCATCCCTAATATTAGATCATTTGATTGTGCACAAGCCTGTAAAACACTCACCAAGGTGGGCCCGTTGGGATGAACTCCCTCCAGAGCCAACATATCCCTGTACAGTTTCTTAGATTCCTCATGAAATCCAGCTTGAGAATAACCCGAAATCAAAGAATTCCACGATACCAATTCCCTGTTAGACATTTCATCAAACAAACATCTTGCTGAAACCATATCATTATTACGCGAATCGCACGTGAGTAGAGCATTAGGCCCAAAAACATCTGAATCGGTCCCGCTCTTCACGACATAACAATGAACTATGTTCACCAACAAAGAATCGCAGGAAAGCCCAGCGAGCGCCTTCAATGCGCAAGTAAGTGAAAAACCGTCGGGTTTTGCAGACAATGAATTAGAAACACCACGTAAGAAGGAACGAAATAAACTCAGGGTCTCGTTGTGATAATTCCTCTGAGAATAGCCAATGAGTAGCGCATTCCAGGAGAATGTATTCTTGCTGGGTATTTGATCGAGCACGTGATGGGCTTCACGGAGATGATTATTCTTGGAATAGAAATTGATAAGCTGTGTATCGAGGAAATTGTCAAGCAGTGTCGAAGATAGCACGAACCTGGCATGAAGTTGCTTAGCTTGGCGAACAAGTTGGACACCTAGTCGGCCCGGATAACATGATTAATCATACGAGAGCTCAATTTTACACTCCCCCATAATAAGAAATTAAAAATTTGGTTAATTGCAGCATACTACCAATTACAAGGATTAATTATCAAATGATTATCCTTTATTGTCTCGGTAGAGTATGCTTTAATTGTATTATTAGTCGCAACTCACAAGATAAGATAAATCTGTATATTTTTTTGAAGAGTCTTGTTTATTGTATTATTACTATTTTAATTTGATAAACAAAACTATCTTCTTGAAACGAAGACATGAACTATCCGAATTTCTTGACTGCCCTCTTACATGAACAATTCTTTCTTTCTTCGTTTTTTTGTTGTTGTTTTTATGTTTAAAATTTTGGAAGATACTATATTGAAAGTATAACGGCATCGTGAGCGTAAACTAAATGTGTCAAGCATTAGAAAATGACAAATTATAAATGAAAAGTGAACGGTTAGAGAGGATAGAAAATAGTGTAATATGAGAACCGTCCATAGAAGGCTTGCTTGTTATATATACCCGCCTGACAAATCCCAAAAGGTGTACCAAAATATTTATTGTCTTACAAAAATGTCTTCAAAACAATAGTTAGACAAATTCACATCTATTCACAATCTCAATTTCAATTAAAATTTTGGTGACGAAATTCCATCCATTTTAGATGTGGAAAAAATAATAAAAAAAAAAAAATCAAAAGAGAGAGGAGGTGGTACGCATTCGCCCAAATTTGTCAATTAGCAATTTAATTTGGAGAGGAAATAATACTACATATATTGTTTACATAAGAATTCATAATATAGTAGTGTTGGTATTTACAAAATCCCAAGTCTTCGAGTATGACTTCCAAGTCAGCATCGTCTTCCACCTTTTCTTCCTCTCTTCAACCTTTTTGTCCTTCTTCAATTCACTCTCCCCCCCATTTAGCACTTACTCACCGGCACCCCAGTTCCTCCTTATCCATCTCCTCGCCCCTACCCCCCATCCTTCATCCTGTTTCTGTATCGTGTGCATGTATGGGTCTCTGTGTTTGTTATGAAACAGAGGAATCCATCTTCATGCCTGCATTCTGTTGTGATTTTTCTAAAGTCCCTTTTTTTTTTTTTGGGTGATGGATTAAATTCAGAAGTTATAATAACAACAAGGAAGAAGGGTTTATGCTTAGCATTAACGAGATGATTTGACTTCATTCCTAAAATTTTGTAGCTTTATTAATCGTCTTTTAATCTTCTTTCTATTCTAGATGATGGCTGAAAATCCTCTGTGATTCGGTTTTATGCAGGGCGGGCGGTCACTCTGGTGGGCTACGAGCTCTGTTTCCCAATTGACGCTGGTACCATTTTTTCCCCCTTTATTTCGCGTCACTTTTTTACAGTGTGGTACTTTCCATCTCTTGTTTCTTGAATACTCCTCATTAATAAATTTGGTGGTTTCCTTATTGGTAAAATTAATGAGCAGTTAAAATTTGTGTTTATTTGCTTTTTTTTTTTTTTCTCCTTAATTCATTTCATAATTTCATTGGCTTCAAAACTCCAATCTTAAAATTTAGAAAAACCCTTCTTACTTGGTTTATTTCCTCAAAAAAAAAAATAATAATAATACTCCATTCATTCCCAAATTATTATTCCAATCAATAGTACTAGTAGGACAATAGTTTAATTTTTAAACGGAGGGGGAAAAAAAATCATTATATTTTCCCAAGGAGTCTAGTTTCTTTTCTTCTCCTTTTTTTTCCCTATTCATTTCATATTAACACGGGCATCAGGCCGGCCATAATAATTTTACTGGAATCACTAATAAAAGCTTTATTTGTAATCGAGGAACCATAAATGTCATTTAGTCACTATGAATCATCATTTTAGGTTTGATTCCAACGATTGTCCATGTTTACTACCCGAGAAGTTCCCTACGTCAATTCGTTACGTCACATGTCCATTTCATTTATTCTTTTGCAAAAAAACCTATTCAATAACAACATACCAAGTATATTATTTTGCTAAAAACTATATATGTAACACCTTGTAGTTTAACCTGTTGAATCCAATGAAATTGTAGAAAGTGTTCTTTGTGTCGTGGTGAAATAATTTAATAAGTTTTTACTTGTCATTAGGGTTTTTTTTATAAGGGTGAGATGGAAAATCGAAATTTCGTACTTCATGCATAACACCTAGGATTTGTACGAAACAATCACCATCAAGCCCTGTTCATCTCCCCCAAACCCCTCCCCAATGATCTTAGAAGTTGAAAATTTAGCTGTCACTTTATCATACGCTTAGCTCTTTTTAATTTGTTTTGAAAAATTAAATGTAAATATGATGGGATTCGTATCGTCACTCCTATGTTTTACGTATACATTCTACAAAAAGTCCTCAGAGATACAGAAGAACCCGCAATCGAGTATGTCTAAAGCTTATTTAATTACTGTTGTTTGCACGTTGAATTATTGTTCATGTATTATTATATTAAGGTATGAAGAGAAATTCAGCATCATGCATGATTGGTGATATGTACAGATCCAGTTTTTCACTCTCATTTCAGTTGAATCAAAACTTATTCACAGTCTGACAGTTTCTTCCTACTTTTTGATCTTCATGACACTAAGGTAAAACATGAGAACCAAGCATTTCACTGGAAACCGGCCGAGTCATTATCAAATGTATGAGGAACTAGACGAGGACGACGCTGCCTATCTTTTGATGGACTTATCAAAGGCTCAAGGTGAGAGCTGTTGTGCTTATATTTCGTAAGCTAGAATCACCATGTAATATATATGTTGACCTAATTCCGAACTTCCGAATTGCCAACTGTTTACAGGTTCTTTTAACTTTGTCCGCCGAGAATCAGTTGCTACTTCCTGTTCTGATTCTTCCTGTGACTTTGATGCGGGATTCTCCATCATTCTCTTTCTGTGAGCCATTCGCTTTGAACTGACTACTCCAGTATCAAGTCCTAATGAGGAAGAAGCAGCTGCGGGCAACTCTTCTGTTGGATCATATGATCACCAAGGCGATTGCGCACAAAGGGGATTCCCTTGTTATACAACTCAAGAAATCGTCAAAAGGGTGAGAGTAATTCCCGGGGATGCACGTGTGCTTGAACTGAGTTTGCGCCTGGAGGATTTAGTCCGAGCAGTACTCCGAATCTTCTCATCAAAACTGGCACCGAAAGGCGTTTATTCATGGAAGCCACTGTAAAGGATGATGTTCCTGATCAGAGTGGAAAACAAGAAGCTGATGTGCATCAGTTCCAGCCGCCTTAATCTGTTTGTTTCTTTTTAGTTTGATTATCCAGGTTATATTAATGAAGGGTAGATTTGTAAATAACCTATATAGTTAGTTAGATTGGAAGGTGTGCTGTTTATGCACTACATTCTGTTGTATATATACTCACATGTACATTTACAGAAGTATGATAAAAAAAAAAATACAGTATACAAAAATTCTAAATCTAAAACAGAATACTTCTCTCTCTCTCGTTCCCGTAGCTTCTTCAAAGTTCTAGATGGTATCAGAGCAGGAGTGATCCTGCTCAGATAACCACAGATTCAGATCAACAAAATCGCTAACCAGTAAATCTTCCAATTACCGGTGAATCTCAGCCAGAAATTATGGTTTGTCATTGAAGATCCAGAAACCAGTTGCAGCGGAGAGATGCACAATCGGAGAAGAGAAAATGATACAGTTCAGTACGGCGGTTATAATCATCCTCTTCTGTTATTGGCATCTGACAATTCAAGCTTAATTCCGATCAATTTTCAGTTGACGGAGTTCAATTATGTGGCCTGGAGTTATGCGATGCGGCGAGCTCTTGGTTCTCGGAACAAATTAGGTTTTATCACAGGGAATTACGCCAAACCGAGTCATCAACATCCTGACTTCGAGCAATGGATGCGTGTTAATGATAACGTTGTGGCTTGGATTCTCAACGCAATTTCTCCCGGTCTTGTTGAAAATTACACTTTGGCAGAAACTGCCTTTGATCTTTGGGAAGAATTGAAGTATCGGCATGGCACCAAGAATGGACCTCAGATCTATCAGCTTAGAAGGGAGATATGTACGATGTCACAAGGAAATGAATCTGTGTCCTCATACTATTCAAGACTGAAGAGACTTTGGGATGAGCTCAATGTTTTGGATCCAATAGAGGATTGTGAATGTGGAAAGTGCACCTGTCATCTCAGATTGGGAGGAATGAAGGATGCGAAAAACAGGTTATATCAATTCTTGATTGGTTTAAATGATTGTTATACAGCAATTCGCAATCAAATACTTATGATTGAGCCTTTGCCTGATGTGAAAAGAGCCTATTCTATGGTGTCAACTGTTGAGAAACAAAATCAGGTTAATGTGTTCTATAGTACAATCTCAGATCAAAGTGCAATGAAAGTTCAACAGGTTGAAAACAACATTGTAGAAGCAGCAATGTCAGTGCAGAAAGGAAAATTCAACAAGGCTGGTAAAGAGAATGATTATAGAAGGGATAAGGCGGCCAAGAAGCTCCTGTATTGTGACAATTGCAAAATGACTGGACAGAACAGAGAAGGTTGCTTCCGCATTATTGGATTTCCGGATTGGTGGAATGACAATCACAAAGAAGGGAAGAAATCACAGTTTAAAAGATCAGGAAATTACTCAGCTAACCTTGAGGAGTCAAAAATGGAGCAACAATTGGAAGGATCAAGTGGTGATGGAAACAACATGCAGCAGATCATGATGAACACTCTGATGAAGCTACAGCAGGACATGGGGAAGCTTATGAAAGGAAATCAACAAGCAGAGGGTTATGACAGGGTGAATTTTGCACATTACCATGACTTTGCAGGTATGAGCAATTTCACAGCATTGAATTCCTTGAGTTCTGTTGATAAAATGGTATTATGTGCTTTATGGTTTTTAGATACAGGAGCTACTGGTCATATGTGTTATCTTTTAAACCTGTTTGCATCATTTCAACCTGTTAGCCATTATACACCAGTCTGTTTGGCAGATGGAAGCATGAAAAGTGTTAAAAATATAGGCACTGTTATGCTTTCTGATACCTTAAGGCTTAAAGATTGCTTGCATATACCAACATTCCAGTATAACCTGATCTCAGTTAGCAAATTAGCCAACTCTTCCAACATTGATTGCCTGTTCTCAACAAACTTTTGTTTGTTGCAGGACCAAGTGACTAAAAGGCTTTTGGCAGTTGGAAAAGTAGTAAACAAACTTTACGTTTTGGATCACACATCTTTTTCACAGGACACCATTTTCAGCTTCATGAAGAACAATGTTAACCATCCTTTTGTTCAGTGTGTCAAACCTAAGAAATGCCTTATGTCAAATACTGATTGTAATAAGTCCAAAAATGCCATTTGGCATCATAGATTAGGTCATGTACCTGATTCTATCATCAGTCGGCTAGGATTGTTCAATAAGAATGATGAATTTGTTTCAAAACAGTGTAGTATTTGCCCTTTGGCAAAGCAGCAAAGATTAAAATTCTCAGTTAGTTCTATCCAATCTGATTCCATTTTTGATCTTGTTCACATTGATATATGGGGACCAAATGCTCAAAAAAACCATTAGTGGAGCTCAATACTTCTTGACTTTGGTAGATGATTTCAGTAGGGCTACTTGGACATATCTAATGCAACATAAATCTCAGACAGTTTCAATTCTTACAGCATTTTTTAAAATGATTCAGACTCAGTTCAACAAGGTTGTCAAAATGATCAGAACTGATAATGGATCAGAATTCCTCAGTTCTAACTGTCAAGGTCTCTTAAAAGATCTTGGCATTATCCATCAAAGATCATGTGTATACACTCCACAACAAAATGGCGTTGTGGAGCGCAAACACAAGCATCTTCTCGAAATATCCAGATCATTACTTTTTCATTCAGGCCTTCCAAAATATTTCTGGGGGGAAGCATTACTCACAGCTACTTACCTAATAAATAGGTTTCCTTCTTCTGTGTTGGACTGGAAAATTCCATATCAGGTTCTTTTCTCTAAACAGCCAGACCTTCAACACCTTAAAGTGTTTGGAAGTCTTTGCTATGCTACAAATACAAATCCACACAAAACAAAATTTGAGCCTCGAGCCATCAAATCAGTTTTCATTGGGTATCCATTAGGTCAGAAGGCCTATAAACTATATGATCTAGATTCCAAGAAGACATTCGTTTCCAGAGATGTTGTTTTTTATGAAACAACCTTTCCTTTCTTGGAACAACCATCTTCAATAGTATCCAGTAGTCAGTCAATCCCTTTAAGCCAATTTGATCATTTTCCTTCCACAGACATGAATTTTTCCCCAACTTCTGATTCCTTAGGAGAAAATAATGTTGATCCTTTACTACATCATGATGGTTTTCCTCCTGCTTCCGACGGCTTGTCTAAAACACCCGATAGATCATCACCTGTTACGATCATACCTTCTTCACTTCCAATCAACACTACCCCTCTTCCAATAGATATCAACACTTCTGAATCTGTCTCTGATGTTTTGATTCCTCTTAGGAAAAGCACTAGAAACAGAAATGCTCCCAAGTGGATGGATGATTATGTTCCTGGTAAAGCATGTTTTTCTCACACTCTTGACACCCTACCAGATCCAATTCATGAATACAAACAGTACACTCCTCACAGCTTTCCCTTTTACCCCATGCATAATTGCACAGTAGCTCATGTGTCTTTTCTAACCAAAGTAGATAGTATCATAGAACCAACAGGATACTTGGAGGCAAAACAGTTTCCAGGTTGGAGAGATGCCATGGATGCTGAGCTCAAAGCACTGGAGGATAACCAAACCTGGGAAATCACAGGTTTGCCACCTGGAAAAAGGGCCATAGGGTGTAAATGGGTATACAAAGTCAAATAATATTCTGATGGAAATGTAGAAAGACTAAAAGCAAGGTTAGTAGCAAAATGCTACAATCAGGTAGAGGGAGAAGATTATTATGATAGCTACTCTCCTGTGGCCAGAGTGGGAACAGTTCGATTAGTATTGGCAGTTGCTGCAAGTGCTGGTTGGTTTATACATCAACTGGACATCAATAATGCGTTTCTCCATGGATATTTGGAGGAAGAAGTGTATATGGTGCCTCCAGAAGGGTATACAAAGGCATCATCCGGGAAGGTTTGCAGACTGAGACGATCATTATACGGCCTCAAACAAGCTTCAAGACAATGGAATGTGGAATTTTGCTCCAGGATTCAGCAACTTGGATTTCAGCAATCACAACATGATCCTTGCTTGTTCACCAAAGGAACAGGAGGTGATTTCATGGCACTAATTGTATATGTGGATGATGTTTTACTAGCTGGACCAGATGAACAATCTATCATGATCATCAAAAGAGCACTGGACAATGCCTTCACAATCAAGGATCTTGGAAATGCAAAATATTTTCTTGGGATTGAATTGACCAGATCAAGTGAAGGTCTTTATCTCAACCAGAGGAAATACATCCTGGACATTCTCAAGTCAGTTGGTCTCTTGGGATGCAAATCTACAACAACACCACTTCCAAAGCATCATCAGTTTACTGATACACCAGGAGATCCTATAGTTGAAGCTTCCAGATACAGGAAAGTTGTTGGTCAGCTACTTTACCTCAGCTTTACCAGACCGGATATACAGTTTGCTGTCCAACAATTGAGCAAACATGTGCAAAAGCCATGTGAAGATCACTAGAATGCCATGATTCATGTGCTCAAATATCTTAAAGGAACACCATCACATGGTCTCTTTTATGCAGTTCAGGAATCTCCTCAACTTGTTGCCTACAGTGATGCAGATTGGAACTCAGATCCTATTGATAGAAAATCAGTAACAGGTTTCTGTGTTTTCTTTGGCTCGTCCCTGATCTCGTGGAAGACTAAGCAACAAGGTACAGTCTCATGTTCTTCAGCAGAAGCTGAATATAGAAGCATGCGTTTTACAGCTAGAGAGTTACTATGGTTGTCATATTTGTTGCATGATTTTCACATCTTAGTCCCTTTGCCGATTCCACTTTGGTGTGATAATCAAGCTGCAATTTATATTACTGAGAATCCGGTGTTTCATGAACGGACAAAACACTTGGAGGTGGATTGTCACTTTGTGAGACATCAGTTTCAGCAAGGTTTTTTGGTCCCTCTTTATGTTTCTTCACAGGAACAAATTGCAGACATTTTTACAAAGTCCCTGCCATTTCTTTGTTCAGCAAAATGTTGTCCAAGCTGGGCTTGAAGAATATTCTTCTAGCTACAGCTTGTGGGGGGAGTGTAAAGGATGATGTTCCTGATCAGAGTGGAAAACAAGAAGTTGATGTGCATCAGTTCCAGCTGCCTTAATCTGTTTGTTTCTTTTTAGTCTGATTATCCAGGTTATATTAATGAAGGGTAGATTTGTAAATAACCTATATAGTTAGTTAGATTGGAAGGTGTGCTGTTTATGCACTACATTCTGTTGTATATATACTCACATGTACATTTACAGAAGTATGATAAAAAAAAAAATACAGTATACAAAAATTCTAAATCTAAAACAGAATACTTCTCTCTCTCGTTCCCGTAGCTTGTTCAAAGTTCTAGAGCCACTTACAATGTACGAAAGGTGCTGTAAAACTTGGTCCTGGATTGGTCCAATCCCATCTCCTGATCAGGCGCCAAAAAGTACTGATCATCATGATCTTCTTACCAGTACTGTATCTCCTGGTGCTTGGGGTTTAAAGGGTCAAGTAGTGAAGAAATTAGTGAACTCATTTTCTGCATGGCTGAAAGAATCACTGGACATGCTTCAAGAATCGGCCGTCTTCCTCCACCGCCATTACAGCTGATGCAACCTGCCAGGGACCTGAAAAGGTTCAACGGGGCTAAAAACCTGAAGATAAGCGTGTCCACCATCAACCCGATCAGCGAAGAAGTGAGAGACTATTTCCGAAAGGAAGAAGCATTGAGGTACACAATCCCTGAACACCCTTTTGCTTACACAGCTCTTGATGGCAGGAAAGCTTCAGTTGCGCCTTTTAGACGCCGGAGTGGTAAGCCATCCAGGAAAGCCCGGGATCATTTCATCCTCAAGTCTGATCGGCCGCCTTGTTTCACCGTGCTTTCTCTCGTGAGGGATGCCGTTGCTAGATTGCCTGATGATGTGGGGACAAGAGCTGATGTTTGTATTCTGGTTCGAGATTCAGGTTACATCATTGACGGCGTTTTTGATGATCAAGTTGAACAGGTTGTGAGCGGAGCCTTGGACCGGCTGCATTATGAACGTGATGCATGTGTTTATTTTGATGGGAACCATCGGCTGTGGATTTACTCGCATGGGAGCAGGGAAGAAGAGGACTTTGAGGATGATGGCACTTCTTCAAAGAAGATTAGAAAGAAGATCAAGTACTCTAAACGACAGCAGGTCTGAGTTTTGTGGTTTCATCATCAACTCGGGAGGGATGAAATTTGTGTGTGTTTGTATAACTTGTAAGAATTTTAAGCGAGAAGTTTCTTTTACTTTTGCATCTTTTTTCTTCTTTTTTTTTTTGGAGGATTAAACTTTTTTATAATTTGGGAAGTTTGAACAAATTCATCCTGGAAAAGTATCTCCTGGTTGAAGTGGTTATTTATGTTAATGGTGAAAACATTTTGTAGAAATGATGTTGGCATTTGATAAGTGATGGTTTTAATATCCCAGATTTTGTTATAATATCCTCAAGTTCTTCAAAACTTAGGAAGTGATGGACTTGAGAGCTTGATGTATGCTAATGCAGGCAAGCCATCTGCTTGACTAAGGTGTTTGGCTTAGTTGCAAAGATAAGATCAAACACTAGACTTAAATAAGTTTTTTTTTTACTTATAAAATACTAATCGCTCGAGCCACTATTAATTTATTCTATGATAAATTTGGAGAGTACATATCTATTTCATATCAGTGTACCTTGACTTCGTCCTTGCATCGAATTTTGGGCAAAATTATTGCAATCTTTGCCTCACCCAATTTGGAAATTAAACAAAAATTTTTTTGAAACAACGATCATATAAGTAATGCAACTTTTTGGGTCGTTGTATTTGAACAACCTGCTGGGTATGTTGTTATTTCCGCAATTATTATACTATACTAGTATAAATGGAGTAATACATAACCCCTTCCAAAGGATTGACCATAGTTTCCAATGTATATAGTGGGGAGCCAGGACGGAACCAAGGGGGAGCGAAGGGTGGTCGGCCGACCCTGCGGTCGGCAAATTTTTTTAAAAACTTACTTTATAATTTTAAAACTATTTTCGAAAAAAATTTATATATATATACTCAACCCCGTAAACATTTAGGGCTCGTTCCGCAACATAAAACTACAACTGCGGCTAGAACGTCATTTGGCCAAAGTGATGGGTTTGGTTATAGATCATGAGTTATACCTTTTCTAAACATGCCGCAGAAAAATCCTTATACCACTTCTCGCCAGCTTTCTACTTTGCTCAAGAATCCAAGCAGTTCTCTTTTCTATCTCTACATTCTGTAAAGGCAAATCCCAGAAAACCCAATACGTTGGTCAAAAGCCAGAGGATCCTTGATATCGTTGCTCCCAAGCTTAATAACTCCGACCCACCGCAAGGCTATCTTCGCCTCATTGATGACTTTCTACGAACAAATCATCTCCCACTCCCAAATCCCCAAGTCAGCGATGGGGTTAAGTCTCAATCGGATCCAAATGAGAGTTCTCTTTCAGCTCTGTTTAGACTTCATCGACAAGGGTTGAATATCTGCCCCAGTTTGCTATCTAATGCTCTGAGTTTATGTGGGTCTGATGGAGATGTGAGACCAGGAATTCAAATCCATGGTTTGGCTGTGGATTATGGGTTCTTTTACAACGTTTACGTTAGCAGTTCTTTGGTCTCATTTTACAGCAAATGTGGAGAACTCAGCAGTGCGAGTAAAGTGTTTGAAGAAATGCCGGAGAGAAATGTGATCACTTGGACTGCAATTATCAGCGCCTTTGCACAAAATGGTCAGCTTGATACCTGTTTCCAGCTTTACCGTAGAATGAGGAATTCGACCTTAGTACCAAATGCATTCACCTTCTCGAGCTTTCTCAGCGCGTGCACCGATAGTGGGTACCTCGGGCAAGGACGGACTGTTCATGCTCATACTGTCCGTGCGGGCTTCGATCGCTGTGTCCATGTTGCTAATGCTCTTATGTCTATGTATTCTAAATGTGGGAATGTTAATGATGCTCTCTGTATATTTAGGGAAACACGTAAGAAAGATTTGGTTTCGTGGAACTCAATGATTGCTGGTTATGCTCTGCATGGGCAGGCAACCAAGGCTGTGGAGCTTTTTGAACAGATGAAGAGGAAGGGAATGAGGCCTGATGCCATTACCTTCCTTGGCCTTATGACTTCTTGTTGAACATGCGGGTTTTGTCGATACAGGCCAATGTTGCTTCCAGGCAATGGTCAAGTATGGTGTGGAACCGGATGTAGATCACTACGCATGCATTGTTGACCTCCTTGGTCGAGCAGGTAGGCTAGAAGAAGACAGGGATTTCATCAGAAGAATGCCCATCAGTCCTAATGCCGTCATATGGGGTTCATTGCTTTCGTCGTGTAGGCTTCATGGGAATGTTTGGGTCGGCATTGAAGCTGCTGAGAATAGGCTTGAATTGGAACCGTCTTGTGCCGCTACTCACTTGCAACTAACCAACTTGTATGCCAATGTTGATTACTGGGATCAGGCGGCAAGGGTGCGCAAGTTGATGAAAGACAATGGCCTGAAAACAGATCCTGGGTGCAGTTGGATTGAGATCAATAATGAGATTTTCCAGTTTCGGGTAGAAGACAGAACCAGTCCCAGTTTTGCAGAGATTATGACGATGCTAGATTGCTTAGTAGACCACATAAGAGGCCTGGATCATTCGCTTGACATATATCAAGCGACCGATTATCATCCATAGGAATTAAACTGGAGTTCAAAAGACAGCTTCAAACAATGTAAAGTAAGTCGGGTAGCAATCCCAAGAAGTCGCATTAGCTTTGTTTCTTGTTACGATATTGAAAGACGCTTATCAAATTGATCACGGAGTTACATTTTCTCTGTTATGGAGAGCATTACAAAGTTCCGAGTAAGAAGACCAGAATTCAAGCAAAATGAATTTATATCATATCATTTAAGTACACGAAAGTGGTTATTTGTTTCCAATAAATGAGAAATTACATCTCTACAAGCTCGGAGATAACGAGTAGCATAAGTTTCACAAACATTAGTCAGCCACTCTGCCACTGGTCGAATTTGGGAAATTACATTCAGGATTAATGTAACTTCTGAATTCCATGTATCATGATACGGGATAAAGAAGGGACAGGAATAAGTTCTCACCATGATGGAGAGGAATACAAATTTGAGCAAAAATTTCAAGCAACCGAAGTGCCGGTTAATTTATCGATAAATATTTATTTATTGATAAACTAATAATATTAAATTAATAAAAATCCCAAATAATCCTATTAATCTTTTTACCTTATTCATATAAGATTTATATTCTTTTAATCCTTTATATTCCCTACCCATTAGAATGTAGACTCAACCATCATCTTAAATTTTATCACCTACCCAATCTACGTAACATGTCTCAATTAAAAGAGATTTGATCTTTTTCTTGGAAATTTTTAAATCATCAATGGCTGGATACATCATGTAAAAAATTCATAACATCTACAATTTCTTTAGATATAAATTTCAAGAAAAAACAAACATCGCTAGATTCATATTTTACTAGCTCATATTTTTTTTTTTATTTCAAGTCATTATTAATTTATGATATTGACGGGACCTATATTTACATAGGATTTTTTTGAAAAATTATTATCTTATTATTTTACCGATTGTCTTTGTTTTTTTGTACTGGTCTCAATTTGGGACCGGACAAAATTATTAATTTATCGATGTTATTAATTTATCGATTATTAATTATCGATGATCTACTCTACTTTGTTGGTTTACCTGTGAAAAAGAGAAGCGTGGGATGGTACCTTTGAAGTGTTACAACTTTGTACTAAACTTACGTGGTTGCAAAAAGACAAAAAGTTGATGCTTCAGCAAAGTCTGCCAGCAAAGTCGATGCTTCAGCAGCAGTAGCTCTTTCTCCCTTCCTTGAGTTCATGTTCAATGCACTAAAACTAAAACACACACAATGTCCACATGAATTACAACACCCAATCTTTCTCGGTGTGCAATTAAACTGTTCCTAAAGTAAAACATAGCGTTCACAAATATCATCAAGAATGACCTTGGTAGCAGTGAACAAGTGGCGGAACTCTTCAACAACTTTCACAAGGAGGTTGTGAACGATCCAAGGGAATTTTTGTACTGCTGATCAATGTTGTGATCTCAACGATTATAGCCAAGACTGGTGGCACACGATCCTATCAAAACTCGCGCGGTGGTCAGCGATATTAAGAAGAGAATATTTCAACAGTCCATGGCCTGGCATCTCTGTTATTGCTGCAGTGTTGTTGCTTGGTCTTACTATAGCACAAACTGTGTTGTCAGCCTTCAACTTAAATAAGGACTGAGTTTAAGTAATTGTTGTTGCTGTTGTTGATTACACTCGATGGTCTACATTTTGCTGAAAAACACATGAGATCATCTTGCTCAATGTTTTCCTTTTCAGATGGATTCTCTGTTGTTAATTGTACTCCCTCCGTCCCATAATTATTGTCTAGTTTGAGTTTTTATTTTTAGTTTAAATTGTACTAAAAGTGAAATCTCAAACTGGACAATAATTTTGGAACAGAGGGAGTACTTGATATATGCAATAACAAGGAAATGGTTGGGTAACGGAAATTCAAACTTCAAGAAAATCTGATATGACAACATACACTTCAAAACACTGTTGAGATTAAACGTAACTTAACTCCAAACTTCCATTTGGGTAGTCAACCAATACGTTCCGTTGATCATTTGTCTCACTTTTTGGTGTCTTATTTTTACATATCATCAGATAACTGCCTCGTTTACGTATGGCAACAGCGATACATGTCGAGTGTTGTTGTAAACGTTAGCAAAACTGACATATGAGGCGCGACAAGTGGTGTTTACTAGCTACTTGCAAAGCTGGCTTTTGTTAGAAGATCACAAATATTAACTCCTATTAATCTCTTGTCTTTTCTTCTCAAATCTGGACCTAAAGCTCATACAGTCAACGTCCTGAATTTGCTCATCTTTCTCTTACACTTCCTCAATCGATACAAATTTCAAACAAAAAACACAATCCACCATGTAGCTTCTCTTTGTACAGCTAGTTGGCTTTACATCTGCTGTCTTCGTGTTAGCTCTTGCAGAAAGCCCATATGTATTTAAGCAACAAGATTTCATCACTGAGATCCAGGATCAACACGGAAAAATACGCCATCTTCCAAAGTTTACGGACAGATCAGAGCATCTTAAAGGGATCGAGAATTATCGTGTAAGCATACTAGAGAAATCAAACCTCATACATTTGTTCTTCCCCCAACATTGGGATGCAGACGCAGTCTTATTCGTTGTTCAAGGAGAAGGAACTATCAGTTTGGTCGGTAAGGAATACAGGGAGAGTTTCGATATCAAAACAGGGGATATTATCAGAGTTCCTGTGGGTTTCACAACCTATTTAATCAATAGAGACAGCATTCAAAACCTGATTATAGCTACCGTTCTTGAATCCGTTTATGTGTCCTGGATTCTATAACTCATTTTTCGGTTCAATGTTCCAAGCTTTTAGTGCTGATATCATTGAAGCTGCTTTCAATACGAAGAAAGACAGAATACAGAGGATTTTAAACAAACAGGATGTGGGCGTTTTTGTAAAAGCTTCAGAAGAGCAAATCAAGGCCTTGAGCCACCCTGAAGAAAACGGCGTATGGCCTCTCTGGGAAGGACTAAAAGGAGCTGTCAATATCTTCAAGAGATGGCCTTTACAAGAAAACGAATATGGAAAGCTTTACAGGGTCGATTTAGTGGAATACAGGAGGCTACAAGATTTAGAAATTGCCATTTCTTTCATGAATTATTTCACAAGGAGGAATGTCTACTCCAATGTACAATTCCAGGGCCACAAAGATTTCACTGGTAATCAGTGGAAATGGTCGTTTTGAAATGGCGAAATGGGCCAATTCATCGGAAAGTGAGCTCTGTTCTGAGAAGTGGAATGGTGTTGGTGATTCCTCCTGCTCATCCATTTGTGTTTGTGGCTTCAGAATCTGAGAATCTTGAAACGGTTTGTTTTGAGATTAAGGCTGATGGGAATGAGGAAGTTGTTCTTGTAGGAAAGAAGAACGTGATCCACCATTTGGAGAAGGAAGCGAAAGAGCTGGCTTTTGGTTATCGATCAATGGAAGAACTTGAAGAAATTTTCGACAGCCAAAACGATGAATACTTCGTCAAAGGGCCTCGTTCATTTGAGCCAGAAGCTCGGGCTGATGCCTAAACTAAAGGGAAAAAAGACTCTCAAAAGATCCAATTTTGGACTGTTTCTAATATTACTCTTCTTTTGATAGTACTACCTATGTACCAGAAAGAAATTTGTGTAGATTTGCTCAAATATTTGTCTCAGTATTGGATTTGATTTTCAGTTGAGTCAACCTAACAAAAGTCGGCAAAGTTTTCTTAGTCGGAACATGAAACCAAAATTAATTTCTATTTGACGCGTCACACTCAAACTCATATGTATTACACTCACACTAATCTCCATTCGATCTGAATAAATTCTTTTGAGGACAAAGGTCTTCTAACATTTGTGTGTTCCATTCGATTTGAGGTTACATATTTCATTATCTCCATTCTCTCTCTCTTCTAATCAAATTCATTATGGTCACCTTAGGGAAAAAAAAATCAATTTTAAATTATTAATTGTGAATTTCCAAATAAGTGTATTAAAAATAGTTATATTTTATTATGCTTAGTGGTTATAGAGCTTTTTAAATGTTTTTACTCCAACTAAAATTTTGAGTCACGTATTTCATCCTTGAATTAAAATTTTTATATTTTTCAATTACATTTTAGGACCTTTTTATAAAGTCATAAATGTTAATTCATACTCCCAAACCCAAGTTCCCAGAAAAAATTGGAAAATAAAAAGAAAAGAGGCTTATTTCCAGGTAACACCCTCAATTTATAAGTCGATTTATTTCTCTCCCACAATTTTAATTATTCCCAACTACAAGTAGGAATACTTATATTAGTTCTTCTGGCGCTCAAATTTTCTAATCAATCCAATTTGGGATTCAGTTGGCTAGGGTTTTCTCCTCTGTAAAATCAAGCACAAAGTCAACTATTACTTCTGATTTCAGTGAAAACGTAGCCGTGGTCGCTGCGTGTTTTTCTGTTGCTTAGGTTTAGCAGAGAGAGAGAGAGTGATGGACGGTGAAGAATTGACAGAGCAGGAAACCGCCCTCTATGATCGTCAAATCAGGGTTTGGGGTGTTGATGCTCAGCGCAGGTATCCTTTCAAAGATTACTCTTTTTTTATTTAGCATTTTTTTCAAAATTTTTATTTAGTATTTCAGTTTCTTCCCCTGATTTTTTACGGAATCGATGTTTTATCGTAGGCTGAGTAAATCCCATGTTCTTGTTAGCGGACTGAATGGCACTGCTGTTGAGGTAAAATAAATTGTGAACTTCTTTGTATTTGTATTTGGGACAAACATGATGTTTTTGTGCCATATATTTGGGCAAAGCTTCAAACTTTCATCTTTTCTAGGTGTTCTTATAGTGTCAATTTGTCTTTGTGTGTTGGGCTTTATACCTCTGAAAGTTATGTGGTTCAGTTGACTGCTATCTTTGTTGCCCTTTTTGTTTCTGGTTTATGTTCTATTTCATGGCGGCTATTTGTGTTATTCATACCGGGAGAAACATATTTATTTTAGTTTTCCTCACATTCTGTGCTTGATTTTTGAATTAGCTTTTCAAAGGGAATGAGTTTCACTTTCCCTTTTCGAAAAGATGATAACGGTATGTTTTGATTAATGATGTAGCTGTTTTTATCTTGTTGCAGTTTTGCAAGAATATCATCCTTGCAGGAGTAGGTAGTTTGACATTAAATGATGATCGCCTGGTTAGTGATGAATTGCTGTCCGCAAACTTCTTAGTGGATCAGAATATTAGCTCTGAGAAACCTCTGGCTGAGCTTTGCTGTGACTCTTTGAAAGATTTCAATCCCATGGTTCGTGTTTTGGTGCAAAAAGGTAAACATCTCTGCTTGCTTCTTTCTGAATTTTCTTATCACATGATTTGTAAAGCACATGATTAAATGTAAATTTTAGATAAGGAATAAGAAACATTTTATTTTTGACACAACATTGAACTGAGGTTACAAGTTACAACACTGCCGTGCATCTTGTTGCTCTCATGACAGTGTATTAACTTGTACATTTTGATAATGTCAGGCTGGAATCTTCTGACATGTTATTTTGTTTTATGCCAATTGTTTTTGTACTTGATCAATCTATGCTTATTGGTTTGACATTGACACTGTTGGTAGTCACATAGTGGGATAACATATTCATTTATTCTTGCAGGCGATCTTTCAAGCTTTGGTGTTGATTTCTTTGAAAAATTTGATGCTGTTGTCGTCAGTTGTTGCTCTCTAAAAGCAAAAGTAAACCGTTTTTATTTATTTTGTGGAAGAAGTTTATGGTAAAGCCATTGCTTTGTCATATATTCCTAATTCGTCCTTTATTTTCCTTTTTGTCTTTCAGAAGTTGATAAATGAGAAGTGTCGCAAGTCATCAAAGCGTGTGGCATTTTATGCGGTTGATTGTAGGGATTCCTGTGGTGAGATATTTGTTGATTTGCAAGACTACATTTATTCAAAGGTAGATTGTTCATTGGTTTGCCTGCTAGTTCTATTGTCAAAGATTATCTGTGCTTTCTTTATGTAATTTTACCTCCTCATATTGACAGAAAAAGGTTGATGAGATGGAAGAGTGTAGGCTCCAGTATCCCAGCTTTGAGGTACAGTCTTGATTTGCTTTGAACATATAACAAGTTGGTTACGTGTTCTGTTTCCCTTATCTTTACTAAGCTTGTTTCCTACTGCTTTCCCTTTTCGGCTGCATTAGGAATTTAATTTTGAGACAATTCCAAAAATACTTTTCTGGCTCTGTATGTTATTGAAAGACGGTACAAATTTGTCTGGATTCGTAATGCTTAAAAGTATTTAATGCAATATTTTGGATGTAATCGTTGAGTCCATCTACAACTTTTGTGTTGCTCTAAGCATTTAACATACTCTTGTTGGCTAGATTTTCTGATGGAAGTGTCACAGTTAAGAACGAACCCAGTTTTTGCCTTTTTTTTTGTATACCACTCTATCTGTAATGGGGGAAATGATAATAGTTTAATAATGAGCAACTTGAGAAGATTGGACCTGTTAGTAATTTCTGTAAGAGACAAAAAAAGAGACCAATCCTTGACATCAAGTCATCAACATAATGTGATCATTTAGGTTTGAGAAAATGTATGTAAAATATCTAAGTTGTAGGTGAATCTGGTTCTCTAAATGATAAATTGTGGACTGACGCAACAGCCATTATTTCATCTCCTGTTACTTTGGAGTACATGGACATGTGCTAGGTTTAACTTTCCAAAAGTTAGATCATCATACACAGACCTACATACTTGAGTCTTAAATCTGAAGGATTCTTATCTGCATTTGAAGTAACTTTATTGTGTGCAGAACTATAGAAAAGGACATGCTTTAAATTTAATTGGAATCATTTGTTTTGCTGAAACAAGGGGATAAAATAGCATCCAACTCAGCTCACCCTACTTAATGAGATAAGGTTTAATTGTTACTGTGACAAAATCTTATCTGGCATATTTTCATGTCTCAGTTGAGATTTCATGAAATTGTTTTACTTATGTAGCTTTTGTATCATAGCTTTTAAAAATGATCAGTTCATTATTTCACTTGCAAGCTTCAGTTGATGTTTAAGATCTTTTGGGAAATCAATGTCGGACATCATTGTACCTTGCTCTTTATTGCAATTCAAACACATAGATGTCTGGTCTTACATAAGTGATGTTGCTCTTAACTTTTTTGTAGGAAGCCATTGCAGTCCCCTGGAAGTCTCTCCCTAGGAGATTGTCAAAGTTATACTTTGCTATGAGAGGTATTTAAGTTCTCTCCTTTGCAATCTGTGTTGTTATAATATTAGGGTTGTCTCCTGCGTAGAGGCGAAATTCGTTCAAACAACATTCAGTGATACCAGAAATCGTTATATCTATTTTCCCCATTCTGATGAAATGAGGTTTCTGTTCATGTCGGTCTGCTCAAAATTCTGGACCTTGGGTCAGCTTTAATGAACTGAATCTAATAGGAACTTAACAGTTGAATTGTATGTGCTCTGGTAATAGACGAGGTTTTCTTAAACTTTGTGTAAGTTTGGCTTGCTAGTTTGTATTAGTTTGGCAGAAATTCACTTCAAAGAAGTGATACTTATAGTTGATGCATGTCTTCCTCTGTGAAAAGGGAAGCTTTTAAGTATTTTCCACTTCATCTTTTTTACGTGATAATCGTAGACTTTAATCTAGAGATGCAATATTAGCTTCTTTTACTTTGCAATCTCATTTAGTTTTAACACTAAATTGACTGCCAAAAGAACTTCATGTTTTCCACGAAGAGTTTAACTATAGTTCGGAATTTCCTCTTATTTAAGCTTTGCTTGGTTATTTTAATGATGAGATTACCAATCGCATGATTCTTGGTAATTTTGCAGTTATTGAAATATTTGAGTCACAAAATGGGAGGAATCCTGGCCAAACTTCAGCTGCGGACTTGCCTGTTGTTTTGAACTTAAGGAAAGAGCTGTGTGAGACCCAGGTAAAGCAATTCTTCTACAAGGCTTTAAATCAAACTTCCATTTTACTGGTTGGCCTCTAAGATTTCAAAACTGTTTCCCATTTCAGTCACTGAGTGAATCCCAGGTACCTGATACTCTCGTTGAGAGATTGTTAGCCGGCACTAGAGAATTTCCACCAGTTTGCGCTATCATTGGGGGAATCCTTGGGCAGGTGATTATCCACTGACTCTTGCATTCTATGAATTTGACATGGTCATCTAGGTTTTGCATTAGTGTGATTTGTTGAATGCTTACGTTCTCAGGAAGTTATCAAAGCAATATCTGGGAAAGGGGACCCTTTGAAGAATTTCTTCTATTTTGACGCGATGGATGGTAAAGGCGTAATAGAGGACTTATCACCTGAAAACAAATGACTAACGTTGTAGGTTGAGTTAGTGCTTGGCTAGGTTTACTCAAAACATCCCATGATGGAAGTTTTGTTACAAGCTTTTGTAGTATATAATTCACTCTGACATGTTTCCATTTGATGATCTTTAGCTTTTAGTCTTGATCTTATTTCAGGCAAGCTGCAATGGCTTCTCTTGAAATCCTTCCATTAGGAAACTCATTGTGTTCCGTACCCGTAGTCCATTTTGCCGTAACCTCAAGTAGGTCTTATTGGCTTCGGCCTTCACTTTGTTTCTCTTAGAATTCTGTTTAACAATATATATATTTATTTATTTTTGTTTCCTTTTGTCCTATTTCCAAGTTTTTTGAATGTGTTTTTTCCGGTCTGTGTAATGATGAAATTTAAGGTAGGGCTGAAACATTCAGGGGGGATAATGAAAATTTTGTTCCTTAAACATCTTCCAGAAATCAGAAGTTCAAACACCCAAATCATCATAGAATTTGGCTTTATATACATACTTTAGACTGAAACTTTAATTTCGCAAACTTGACTACTCAAAAATCAAAAGAATTGGCAAAACACACATTCTGATTTTTAAGTGTGAAAATCTTAAGCCTCAATATACATGTTTCTTTTTCCCCCTTTGTTTACGCGATGGGCAGTACGGCATACGGCATAACACTCCCATTCTAGAGAACCTCCAAGAAACACATGGAGAGGTTCTTAAACAAAGTGACGGCCTGACAGTCGCGAATTACGACAATGCTACTAGTTGAGTGAGACCCAGGCTGGCTAATCTTCGTTCTTGCTTTACCATCTCAAAAGAAGAAGACCGAGGTCTAACAAGGCTGTCACTAAAGATGTATCCTTTTTCAAGATAGCCCATACCACAATGATAAGTTCGATGAACGAGGGGCTTCTTCTTCTTCTCATCCTTCTCCTCAACCAAAATTGATTGCGTTGCGTATATGTGTTAGTATCATGACATTGATCTCTGTCTACGAAGAATAGCGTCCTACCGGCATTCCTACTACTCCCCTCATCACAAGTATACCCAAATAATAATACATCCCCCATCACAGCAATATCTATAACCACAAATTTCGTGTTCAAAATTATATCTCGTCCAAGAATCTTTCGCGCCATACTCCTTCATTATCCACAAACAACAATCACCCCATTGTTGGGATTCGCATAAGAAGCTAGGACATCCATCCAAAACCCCTAACTCCCAACCATCTCCCTTAGCACCAGGAGGCTGCGGAACGAGATAGAATGTCTGGGTTCTAAGGTCAAAGGGGTATCATCATCGTCGTCATCGCAGTATTGCCCAATCCAGTGTAGCACATGGTTGACGAATACTCCACCGCACTTGTATCTACCGAAAATAACTGAATCTAGAAAATGTTCCTCAGGTGAAAGAGGAAGAAGACTCTTCCAAGAGTTTGATTTGGAGCTATAAACTTTCAGCTCTTGCTCGACTACACGTCTTGTTTTGCGATCATCAAAGGTGGTGATTTGAACCCATCTTACCACCATGTAATCATCACGACTTTAATGGTACCCAAAACCATAAGATACATCAACACGGGTATGATCATGATGATTCTCCTCTGTCATTGGTTTCTTCCAGTCAAGTGATACATGGGAATCAGACAATTTCCCGTATTGGTTAAGACTTGGATTCCATAACGCGACCCCAAGTACAGATTCATCCAGGAAATTACTAGGGGAACTACTGTAAAAATAATACACACAGATCAACCCATTGCAAGAACCATCGAGGCCACCTCCCTTTACCGTCTCTTCCCAGTAGAAAGAGTGATACAAGGCAAACGGATATTTGTTCTGGTAGATTATTTCGTAGTACTAGTTTTTATTATCCATTGGCTCCCTGGATGACTACATACATACTACTTTCCACTTTATATCAGTTTTACTAGAGTTGATGAAAAGTGAAACTTCTTATTCAAACTTATACTCCCCAGGTAATTTTAAGAAAATTTATTCGCATGACTGTCGTTACTTTGTTTTGTTTCTTTTAGAATTCAGTTAAAGTTAATGCAGTGATCTTTAGACTAACTTTATAATGATCTTAGAATTCATGATACATCAGCAAACATACAAAGAACAATAAAAGGAAATAAACATCCTATGACTCCATTAAAATCAAATTCCTGGTGCTTTGTAAAGCAAAAAACATCAACGAATTATGAAAAGGTCTAAAGAGAGAGCTCCCCATCCTCTTCACGTGCAAATTTGACTCTTGTAAATTACTCTATTGAACTAAATTGAAAATTCAAAGTGGACAATAATTTTGGATCGGAGGAAGTTATAAGGACGCAAAGCTCGCGGATCTTTTCATCAAGAACACCACGGTCTAACAAGGATGTCGCTATAGATACATGCCTGTTCAATATAGCGCTTTATGCCACCATCCTTCATTCGAAGGACGAGGGGCTTCTGATCCTCTTCCTCGACCGGCTGTTTATTACTGTTGTCTTCCTCAACCGACTGCTTATCAGTGTCCACATTGCACCATACAAGTTTAGCCCTACTTGCGGAAAGTAGCTTTTTAACTAACTGCATTCCTTCTTCCCCCATACGCATAACCAAAGACGAGATATGGATGGAGATCTTCATCACACTTAATACCAAATCTCGTCCAAGAATCTTTCAGGCCATACTCTTTCATTGTCCAAAGAGTATAACCATTTAGTCTCGACTCGCAAGTAAAGCTAAGACAGCCATCCAAAACCACAAGCTCCCGAAGATAAACATTTCCAGGCAATGGAACAATTTGAAACTTTTCGGTTACCAAGTGAAGGGCTGCTTGCATGCCTTTCGCAATCATCGTACTTTTCCCCTCCCCAAATGACCCAATGTACAGAATGATTCGCAAGTACCGCATCAAAGCTGCTTTGGAACACAATCGAATGTCCAAGCGACTCCTCGGGATCAAGACTTTTCCAAGAATTCGATTTCATGCTATAAACTTTAATTTCTTGCTCCACTAGACTCTCATAATTGTAGGTGGTTTGAACGAGTCTCACCACCTTGTAATCATCGCGAGTTTCATCGTAGCCAAAACCGAAAAAATACTTGGTACGCGATAGTCTCCTTCCCCTCTTGCAAGAATCAAGTGACGCAGGGGAATCAGGCAATCTCCAGTATTGATTAAGACTTGGATTCCATAACATAACCCCAAGTTGAAGATCATTATGGTAACCATTGTAATGAGTTACGCAGATCAATCCATTGCAAGAACCACATAGTCGACGTTGGTCCAGCTTTATCCCAATAGGAAGCCCAATAGGAGGCAAATACATCTTTCAAAGTGGTTGATTCCATCTTTTCGGGCAAATCGAATTCCGCAACAGCATAATAAGCACCATAATAATCAAAATAATGTTTCCGACCTTTAACTTTGAACAATAACTTAAAGGGTGACGAAGCTTGGATTTGTACGGTGCCTTAGGACGGGCGGCGATGATGATCTAGGTGGCGGTGGACGGCCTAAAACCTGCAAGACAGAGCCTCGGGTATCTCCCGAGGGTAGACTCTACGATACTTAAGTCAATAAAGGGATAGAAAGAATAGGGAGAGAGGTAGAAGATACGTGTATAATATACTCCCTCCGTCCGATAATTATTATCCAGTTTTACTAAAATGAAAGATTTTTATTTTTAGTCAAACTTAACTATATTTTACCTTGAACAACCGGATATACCCCTAATAAGTAATTGCTTAACCACAAAGATTTTATGGATAATGTTTTTTACTAAGGACAAATGTGTAACTTGATCCATAAAAAGTCAAATTGGACAATAATTTTGGGAAATTTTTTGGGCAAAGTGGACAATAATTATGGGACAGAGGGAGTATCAATTATGAGGGAGGCACCACCTCTTTATATAGAGGTGGTGTTACCTGTTTCCCTAAACCTAGTTGAATTAGGTTTAGTCGGTGACTTAACTTTCAAGATAGCCGGCCCAAACCCATTAGGATTAGGGTTTAATCTATAACTTGTCAAGTGTCCCTAGCAAGCCATATTCTCGAGATTTGGTGAGAAGGATATGGATTGCTATGAGTGTTGAGTCTTCTCGAATTTCGTGGTGTTGGCCCTAGTTCTCGAACTCTTTCGTTCTTGGGTGTCACCTATACAAGATAGAGAGAGTAGAATGTCTCGAGGAGGTCTTTGTGTTAGTAAGTTCCTTATTAGCAGGGGGAAGTCTGTTTATGCGAATTAGGAGGATGGCGCCTAGATTCTCTTATTTGAAGGGGATAAGCCTATTTTCTCTTATTTGAAGGGGAGAAGCCTATTTTCTCTTATTTGAAGGGGAGAAGCCTTTATTGCCTGTCGTGCAGGTCTTTCGTCGATATGCAATTTCACTCAAAAGAGGCAATATAATAATATGTTTATTGAAGATAAGTCAAAGCTTAATAGTAAAAGATCCTTAGCAATATTCTAAATCAAAGCATCGATGTGCTAAATTATTAAACAGAATATGAAAGCAAGAGGCATACTTGTTGGAGGGAACCTCGAGGAGTCCTTATGGTATCTTGTGTGAAACGTGAAGCTCACCTGGAATTTCCCTCGAGGGGTTGTCTTGATTAGTCACATATTCTCAGAAATTTCCTTTCTCAAGCCCTTCCTCGATTTGCTCATTTAATTCATGGCAATTCTCGGTATCATGCCCATGATCTTTATGAAAAGCACACCATAAATGTCTCGGGCGCCTGCCTGGATCAGTTGTCATAGGACGCGGCACTTTCAGATCATGCTTATGGACCTCTAGGATTTCAGCTCGAGGACGAGTAAAAGGCGTATAAGCATTTGCCTTGAGCTTTGCTCGATTATGTCCTCTTTCTTGATCGCGATTGTGTTCTTGATCTCGATTACGGTCTAGTTCTCGGTCACGATATGCCCCTAGGCCTTTAGCTTTGTACTCGAGCGACCTCTTCTCATAAGGGTATAAGCTTTCTCGTGCTAGATGTAAATCTTCTTCTGCGTGAACTTCAGTTTCGACCACCGAGAAGAGTTGTTGCAACGTTTGTGGCGGCTCTTTTTTTAGCTTTTGTCGCAAAGTAGCAGATGCCCCATATGGATAAAGACCATTAGTGAAGATAGCAACAATCGTCTCTTCAGATATTCCTTCGACTTGAAGTTGTTCTTTGGTGATAATAAGCCCCAATAGATTCTTCTCGATCTTGCTTGAGGGACATTAGCTCGATAATCGTCTTACGAATCTTCTTTCCTTGGAAGAACCTTGCGTGAAACAAAGTTACCAGCTCATGAAACGTCCGTATACTTCCCGGGGACAAGGTTCCGAACCAGAGTTGTGCTTGACCCGTGAGATAGGTTGGGAACGCCTTGCACATGAAATCATTGGAGGCATTCCTCAATCTCATAACACTCTTATAGACTTGCAAGAACACCATGGGGTCGGTATCTCCTTAAAGCTTCTAATCTGGAAGTTCGAACTTCTCGGGCATGGGCGTTTCTCAGATACATTGGATGAATGGACTATCGTCTCCCTCCTCATCTCCTTCAGATTCGAGAACCTTGCGTAATTGATCCTCGATGATTAAAGGTACTCGAGGTGGAGGTACGTTCACTCGAGGGAGACGAGTTTCTTCTCGAGTTACAAGGTGATATCCTCAAGAGGTGCCCGTAGGGTTTGGCTCGCCCTCTCTCGAGAAGGTACCCAGATTGTCAACCACGAGCTGTCGCTGGTTACTGTCGAGTTCATGAAAACTCTTCATAAATTGTTGGAACTTGTTGAACAAGGTAGGTTGAGATTTGAAAAAAACCTCCATGAGGTTTTGATCCAACAAACACCAGATGGCCTGTTAGGGGATGGTCCCACTGGAGTCGCTTGTTTATCTTTTTCAGCTGCAGTAGCAGGTGTTTGTTGTTTTTCTTGCGCCATGATGCTGGTGACGTGCGCAGCGTAAAGCACCAAAAAAATTCCAACTTCGCTTCAAGAAATTAATTTGGTGGTGAAGACCAAACAAATAGGTCCCACTGGGCATGCCACTTGACGAAACTTGGATTTGTACAGTGCCTTAGGACAGGCGGCGATGATGATCTAGGCGGCGGCAGACGACCTAAAACCTGCAAGACAGAGCCTCAGGTGTCTCCCGAGGGTAGACTCTCTGATGCTTAAGTCAATAAAGGGACATAAAGAATAGGGAGAGAGGTAGAAGATACGTGTATTAGATATCAATTATGAGGGAGGCACCACCTCTTTATATAGAGGTAGTGTTACATGTTTCCCTAAACCTAGTCGAATTAGGTTTAGTCGGTGACTTAACTTCTAAGGTAGCCGGTCCAAACCCATTAGGGTTAGGGTTTAATCTATGACTCATCAAAGGGCCTGTGAGTCAGGTGCAATTTTTTGAAAATTTTGCTTTTAATCAAAGCTCGCCAGGATTTCGAAACGCGCTTAAGTTCCACCAGTGATACTGCCGGAACCCTCACCAGGATCTCAGTTAACAGATCCTCAGGGAGGTTGCTTGACATTGTTGTCACCGGCTTTAGAAAGATTCACACAAACGATTAAAAACAATTCTCAGACAAGTGGAGCAAACCCCAAAGCCCAGCCGGAACCGAACACCGTGGTGCACCGCCTTTACTTGGTTACCTCGACTTCGGAACTCTTCTGCAGTTTTATATGCAACTAAGAGTTACTATAGGATTAAGAAGAGTAGAAAATCAGAAACCGGGAGTCAAAGGTGTGTTTACTGAGAGTTAACGCGTGGCTTAAAGTCTTTAAGAAGAGACGAAGGCGTGTTTAGTCAGATTCAAAACTGTCCACTTTTCTTTTCTTCCCTTTTATTTTTACTAGTGTTTACCCGGCACGCTGTACGGTTTGTTCAAGATATATTTGAGAGTAATGATTTCACGATTATATAAAATTTTTTACAGAGTGTTATATGTAAAAATATATAATAATAATGATATAAATTGCAATCGTAATTTTTAATGTCAATTTTTTTTTCTAATTTTAAGTACATTTGGAATGAATTTTAATATTCGGAATATCCCATGTAGTTTACTGTCCATATTTTTCGTTTTGTTCATTTATAACTTTATATCTTTTAAAAGTATTCTCTTAATTTCTCATCATGATCTCTCTAAATATTTCTACCGGTGTCAAATATTTTAAACTATCGCTCTAATAGAAATTTTCTCATTATTTATTTCCATAAAATTTTCTTTATTTTACGTCTCTCTATATATGTTTTGTAATTAACCTTTCTTTAGAAGTTCGTTTGTATATTTTTTCTATATGTTTACTCTTTTTTTTTTCTTGGTTGCATAATCTTCACTTTATTTTTCTAACTTTTATGACGTATTTTTAAAGCGTCATTTCCTGAAAAAGTTTGTAATAATTATTTCCTTTTTCACCATTATCTCGATCGATTTCTTTTTTCTTTTATTTTCTTATTCTTTACATGATTTTTTATTCGTATGATTAATTTCAATATCTTAACATACTTTTCTTCTATTGTTTGTCTCTCACTGTTTCACACAGACTTTATTATTTTTCTTATTTTGAAAAAGTTTCTCCCTAGTGAACTCTACGTTTTTTTATTATCATATTGTTAAATTTTTCTACCATGATATCATATGAAAAAATATAATGCATCACCTAATGGATTTTTTTAATATTTTCTTATAAATTACCAATGTTTATCAAGGTTAGAAGATTCAACGATGAAAATCGCATATCACACTTGCATTTCAAGATGCATAGGCAAAGAAAAAAAACCCAAAAAAAAAATTTAGCACCAATATATAGTATTAATTCTCTTAATTACGATAAAAAATTTTTGATTATGGGCAACTGAAAATATACATCGTTTTATTTTAATTTTTTATCTGGACATTTTAATGTTATAAGATATAAATTAATATAAATACTTGTTTCTTATGATAACTTTATTTATTTAATAATAATATTTGATAATGATAAATTAATATAAATAACTGTTCCAATAGGCAGCCAGCTTGTCACGCATCAAGGCCGCGTCATCTGGGTTAGCAGCATAGTCCTTGAAAACCTCGTCCAGCACATCATGTGCTCCCACGTCCCGGGATGTTCCCAACATGTTCCCAACCCCAACAGCAAATTAATGCGATCCCAATACCTTGTGCACTGCGGCGCAAATGATATCCCCCAGCATCGCACGGGTAATAGTAGACTTCAACAACCCTTGGCATTCCTTATTGGCAGCCTCCAGCTCACCCTTCAGCCTAGCAACCTCCGTCTCCAGCGACGCGATGGTGGCCATGCGACTGTGACCTTGCTCTTCAAAGTCA